ACTCGGATATACTGCGGGCTGCGGGGTTTCTACCGAAACGACCACGCCTGACGCAGCCACCGTCGATAGTGGGGGTAAATCTACTACACCGTTGCGACCGCTCGCCGGATAACCAACGAGGCTGCCTCTCTACACTGCGCATGTGTTCCACGGTGTAATGACGGACCAATCGCGGAACGACGCACGGAGCAGCCTGCTGGATCGCGGCGAACATATTGTGGTTCTAGCACTGCACGACTGCACCCTGGCTCTCGGGCCAACTTCGTTTCAACGAATCGCGTTCTTTGGCACGGATTTCTCCGCATTCAAAATGAAGCCACACGCCTGCCATGCGAATGCAACTGAACATTTTCCTATTTTTTCCCCTTTTACTTCGTGAGAAGCCACGGCATAATTCGTAGTTTGAGTGACAGATACATTCATTAAATAATTGCAAAATGCCAGCCCCGCTGCTTCTGCTGGATCCTTCTTACCCAACCCTTTTATTTATTAACACTCGTAAGGTGAGCGTACTTGTTTTTTTAGTATTACTAGGAGGTAATTTAATGGAATTGTAATAAATGTGTAGTAACAATAAATGAAGCTTCGAAAAAGAATACTGAGTAGGAATGTCCATGAGTGTTATTTGAAACTACAAAAAATATTCATACATGTAAAAAGATGGATTAGATCTTCTTTGATCTTTAATGTGAAATAATGGTTGTACATTTACTTCTTGTGATATCAATGTCCAGTATATTATAGATTAAATAAATGAAAAGTGTGAATGTCGCTCTTATTTACCGGCTGTTTCCCGGCGTATAAAATTTAAAATGTAATTTCGTACAAGAGCCGCCAGGCGTGGTGGCGCTGCATGCCAGCTAGAGATTTTTTCTAGTTTGATCGTTAACAAACCAAAAAGCTACGTGCCGAAGTGCATGTTGCAATTAGAAAGACCCTTGCGCTCTCTTATTAATCGAACCCCTTTTTTAGCCTTATGTTTAACTCCATAAAGCACTGTTTGAAAAAGATACAGCGGACTCAAAAGTTACGTATGTTGTTAGAAAACTACGGTAACGACACCAAAAACCTAACCAAACCTATAAAGAGTATCGAAATAATTTTTTCAAAAATTGAACTTTAATCGAATATTTCTTTGAAGTATCATTCGACGTGCGAATTTTATACGTTAACCAACAAATAGAATCGAATGAATCATAAAAGTGAAGAAATGCCATAAACGTCCGCGAATCTAATTGTCTCACTTGAGTCACATTTCGTCGAATGAATGAACGAAAAAAGAAAACTGGTTTGAAAGGGAGAAAACAGCCTAGACAGCAGAAACTAGCCGCGCGAGTGAATGCAGGTGGCGTGTTCGCGAATACAACGATACATACGTAGGCTTAATAGTTCGATGCTCTTATTAGCTCGGAGTCCAATTAAGGCCACAATGATACTCCAAGCATTCTCCCGTGTACTTCCTAGTGTCGCGTTAGAATACCAAGCATGACACGGACAGGGGAGAAGGAGGGAAAGTTAACGAAAACCGCTGACACCGTGAAAAAAAAAAATGAAGTTGCGCGAAGAGATGTAGATCAATCTCGTTACGAAAGTCATCGGGGGAGCTCTCTGAAGTGCCGAACGTTCTTCAAGATAGCGAAACGTTCGTGGGCAATTTTTTGTTCAACGTTCATTTTAGAAATTTACACAGGTTTCCTAGAAATTGGATTTTCATTTCATTTTTTTTTCTTTGGATTTTATTTTTTCGTTCGTGCCAAAGTCTTGAATAAATGTTCTTTAAAATCAATTTTGATCACTGAAATTTTGTTTACTCTTAATCTAAGGGATACACAAAAATAAGCTAAACGTTACAGTTTTCCAGAAACGTTTACGATCAAAAAAACCTGACCCGACCTTCTTCGTGAACCGAATCAATGAATACAGCGAGGTGCAACATTAACCCACTTCCATCGTTTATCCTTCCCCAATATTCGCGTGGCGTGACAGGGAACGGGTAAAGAAAATAGTTTCGCGAATGTGTGCCCGTAGATAAGGGTGGGAGGGACCTTGACTGTTTTGTGCATATCGAACGCGTTGCATCCACGATAGTCTCCCCCGGTGATTCTCGCCGCCCACGGACCATACGATGTGCCCTACTATGAGCGGCAAGAATGTATAAGTCCAAGAAAGCCAAATCTGAAAATAATTTCTAAAACATAATAAAATTCACGAAGTTTTCAAGAAATGTCGTTAATTTAAAAAAAAAACCTTTAATGATCAAAATACATTTTTTTAAAGTCCATATCGATAAAAAATGATGGCACGTTTCTATTTTCAAAATTACGAAAAAATTGTTTACAATTTTTTTCAGGCTTTTGAGTAGTATAACATAAAAGATGCTCCTTGCCTGGATCCACATCTTTGGTCTGACATGTTTTCTGATATAATCAATAACTTGGAAGATAATCAAATAAAATCTGGGGGACGGCGTGAGGAAAATTGGAAAATTGAAAGTAAGAAGAAACACTCTCCTACTATACACCGTTGAATAATGTACGAATGTGTGATTTCAGTGATACATTTATCGATAAGGGTGCATACATACAATCCACAGAGGGGGGAGGGGGTGAAAATATTCGAATGATATATAACTACCTGTTGAGAGGAGCCGGTGGCCTGTTGGCTATTGTATCTGGCGAGGACTGCCGGGTTCAGACGACGTCTCGACGCCGTTGGCGCTGACATTTCAGCGTCTATCTTACTGCTGGCTGAACGATCGTGTCCTCGTTTGCTTTATTAATTCCACCGAGTCGTCGCGAAAGGTTCGCGACGCTCGATCATCGAAATAACTGTCGGATGTCACGCGTCCTCTGACGTCCGTAACAGTCCCGGCCACTGCATCGATATCACCGATAACCGTGTTAAAATTGCAATTCGACAACCGTGAATGTACACCATCAACTATATACACCTTATCCCTGTATACATATATACATATATATGTATATACAATTCGATTGGGTTAACTGGAGTGTACTTGTGTAACGTTTGTGGCACACACTGGCGAAATTAAAGTTCCCTCGAAACGAACGAACAGAAACACGGTTTGATTTCGAAAATTTGCACGTTCGAACCAATACGTTGCACGTTCGAACCAATGCGTTACAGGTTCGAACTATTACGTACGCGAGAAGCGACCACTCCGACACTGAAACGAGTTGGAGATTCACCAGACTCCGTTGTCGTTCTTTATCACGCGAAAGATTTCGCAAACGGAGCGATAATCGCTTATCGCGATTCTACGGCACAGATCGTCCCGTCGTTGCGAGCAGAAAAAAAATGCCACCCCACTTAGCCAACGATGATTATTTGCAATTGTGAATCACGGTCGTTGGTGGATCAGTTTTCCCAATATTAAACAGGACGGATAGAGTCACAGGCGATAGATTAACACTAGAACAACCAAAGCAGTCAAACTATGACTAGTTAGTACCTTCCTATAACAATGATTAAAATGGTACAACGACGGATTTTCTCAGAGCTTTCACATCTTTCATTGCAATATGAAAACGCAAAATTAGTTAATTTATAAGTTTGAATATTTTCAAAAGTTTATCATGTTTATCGATCCGGTAGAATTGGATATACATATGTACGTTTATCGTCGGTGGTTCTAGTGTCAAATATGGTCACTTGGTCGCGGGAGCGTTACTTCCGGTACCGTGCTCGGGGAACACGCCCATCGATGAATCGTAAGCTCCGGCTCGATGTCTCGAAGTGAAATACAGAATTTTTGAATCCGTCCCCCGGAAGGTGATCCAAGGGTCGACGAAATAATACGAAATTACAACCTCGAAGTAGGTTTTAGTTGAATTTTTTTCCAGTCGAAATTCACCGAGCAGAACAATGGAAATGATTTTACGTCTCGACGACAACGGTATGCACGTTCCGCGATTTGTTAGTATTGCGATCACGGGGCCCCGCGCGCTTCCACGCGTGTCGTGCTCGACAATCGGAATGTGACTAACCTTATCAGTGAGTGAGAGAGACTTACCGCTGCCGTGGTGGTGCCCGAAGTGCCCGTTGTGAATTGGACGTTGTCATCACAACCGTGGTCATCGTCGTCGTCGTCGTCGTTGTCATCGTCAGGTTGATTATCGTGGTGTATGCGGTCGTCCAACATCCGCGCGCGACCGGAAACAGAGAACGAGGAGAGACAGAGAGGGGAAAGGAAAATATGATAATAAACGGGGTGGAAGGATAAGATTGGGGACCATGGTCGTTCACGGAGAAAGGATCGAAAAGAGCGATTCTAAGATTAGTTTTAATTCATAAATATCTGGTTCGTATGATTAACCCCATGCGCTACCGGCAGGCAGATATGGGCAAAATCATTAATAGTTTTGAATAACGAGTGAAAACTAAAGAAAAAACTAGTACTTCGCCATTTTTAATCGATCGAACATGACAATTCTAATTTTTCAAATAAAATAATACTTCTTCTTAGTATGCCACTTCGAATAATGGAAGTTAACTAATGGTTTTTTGATACCAATAGGTTAATACTTTTTTTATACAGAAATACAAGCTGGCACCATTTAAAAAAACAAACTTGACCTTCATATGTCCTCTACCCGTCCTTCTACGAAAAAAGTAATTTCGTAGCATTATACCCCTCTCGAAACCATGTAACTTTTATCTGAAATATTTTTTACTAAGATTATTAGTCATGTAGTGGTTTCGAAGTGGTGCCAGTTACGTGCTCCACCCTGTATGTCGCGGCCTTCGAGACCCATTAAAAATTCTATCTCGAAACCGTACTTTACCGGCTTGTTTCCGTGTAATTGCGATGAAGTGTGACGATCCAATTAAAAGGTACGTATGAAAAGGTTTCCCGCCTACGGGCGAGCTATTTAATCTAAACACCAATAATACCGCGCTGACATCTCCTCCCCGTCGTATCGATGCAAGCACAAACAACATCGATAAATTGTGTTTATTCGATTCTGTTCGAACACAACCGCTTTCGAGATGAAACGTTGTGTATCAGCGTGGAAAATGACACAAAATCGTTCCACCCAAACTGATATTCACTTGAATATATGCAGCTCATGTTTTAATTGATACATTTATAGGATTTTCGTATCGATATTCATAATATCGATACTTTTTCAATGTATCAAGAATTTCTTGAAGACATTCATATGAGGTTCAAGAATCGATAGGCATTATACCGCCACACACACCCACACATTCGTTTTGGTCCACGAGTAGTATGTCCTGAAACTGTCTACCTGGTCAAACACACATCGTGGGATCGCCTAATTAGCTCAATTCATTCAATCAGCCGGAGCATCGATCCCTGGATTCGCGAATTCCATTCCCGTGCAATCAACCAAAACCCAGAAGAAGAAGAAGAAGAAGAAGAGGCTTACGTGTATTCTGCGGGACGAAGACCACAGTGGGGGTTTCCATTTCGATCATCGTAGCAGCGGGGCCGGTCTCTCGCGTTCTCCCTTTTTATCGGCGCGCGATCGAACTTTTTCGTCGTCTCCTCGTTCGCCGCGGAACACCCAGAGGAGCCCCCACTGCCGGAGGAGGAGAGCAGAAACGGCGGATACCGAAAATAGATATTGCAAAAAGTCAAGAACCACGAAAATTCCAAGGGAGCCACGTATATCGAAGTGTGTATCGTCCGATTCCCCCGTCGCAATCGTGGTTTTCAACTCCTCGCGACGCCCGTTCTTATGGCCGGGTCATCGGCGATCCATAGTCGATTATCGCTACACTCACTGCGAACCGTTTATTATTTAATCGTTTACGACGAATATTTTCGAAAAATCTTGACAAGGGTTATATTGACCCAGCCGCCAGCTTTCACATCAAATCGACACTCTATTTAACAGGTTTTACTAGAATCAAACGATCAACAGTGAAGGAACTATTATTAAACAGTTCAATCACAGTGGCAACTTACATTCATAAAAAATACCAAAAACTCTAATAGAATAACATAACAATTTCTTCGTTAATCCTGATCTAAGGGTAAATTAATAGGCTTCTTATTTATATGTATAAGCACTGCAAATTAAAAGTCTATTAATAAGCTACCGGTCGGTAAAGTGTTAAGAATTCTTGCCGGTACGCCGACGATTCCTCGACCGGAGAAACATGACCGTTCGCTTCGCGCACGAAACCAACACAACTACCGAATACCCAACGAGGCCGCCGCTGAACGATAAGTCCCCCTCCGAGGCGGACTGTGCCCAAGATCCAGAGACCAACAACCCAGACGAAATATCTCGGCCTGGATCGATCGATTTAACCCGGAACAATGTACAGACACACACACACATACACACACTTGCCACGAGATAATAACCGCCAACAGAAAGATTCCTACGGTTTCGCGCTGCTACTCCCCCCACCCCCACCCCATAAAACCCACGGAATTGGATTAACGAACCGAGATATCTCGGGGGAGGGTTTGCGCGAAATGAAAACGACCGGCGGGGAATCTCGAGACTGGCGATGCCCGATGATACTTTCAAAAGTATCGATACTTATTGCTTTTTTTTTAATTTTTGAAATTTTGTATTCTTATATTTATGTTGTGTATTTTTGTATTTTATTTATATCTATTCCGTAAGGCTCATAACCCGTTTATAAAAAAATATTATTATTATATGAATGCATATTGATACAATATTACTAAAAAAAACGGATCAGCAAGAAAATTATTCCTTTTTTTAATTACATAAACTCAAGTAGAACATTCGTTGATGAATTATATTTTTACAAATACTGCGGTCACTTTTTTTTGCTTTTTAAAAAATATGTCATTAAACACACATACCTTGGAATATTTCTAAACCTATGCGTTCCTATCGAAGAGTTATATCGAGCCACGGAGTATTGATACTATATCGTTGCCTAAAATATCGATACAAAATATCGATATTCATGAACAGATACATCGATATTCACATGTATCGGGATTGTATCGGACATTGCTACCTGGGGTATATACATATATACGTATGTCGGAAGTCTGAATGTGGCCGAATCGTTGAAATGACAGGGTTTCTGAACCGTTTTTGGCCGTCTGTGACTTTAGGCTACGCGATCGATCGATTTCGTCCTGGCCCATCCACCGTCCGTTCGCAATACGACTGGTGTTCCAGAGTTTATTTTTCGGTGAAGCCTTTGTTCACTCGAGACGACGACGAGAGCCAAGGAAGCACGAGAGATTTCTTCTATGTAGAGATGGAAGAACTGTAGTAGCGCTCGCTACGACGGATTCGATGCGAGGTTTGACCGTGACGAATGGTCGCTTTGGTATATCCCCCCTTTGATGGTAAAAGAAAGAAAGAAAAACCATCGAGAAAAATGTGTACAGTCGATAGGGGGATCGTGTTGATATTGCCGGTCTTTTAATCGAACAACTGAACACGATGCGGCGTACCGCGCGCGCGCGCGCCACACACACCGAGAGAGAGAGAGAGAGAGAGAGAGAGAGAGAGAGAGAGAGAGAGAGAGAGATTCAGGTACATTTTCACGTGACAGTAAAGTCATAGGTTTCTGTTGTGATACTGTATTACAATGTAAATAAATTGCGACATCTACTTTTAACGACATGAAAAGGTATAACTATTTCGACCGCGGATGTTTATGCAAATTCAGAATTTTAGGCGTTAATTTATAAACATGAGAATCAGATGGAAATTTATGTAGTTCCTTTACTAAATGTCTTGTTATGTCGACAGTAATATATAAATATCATGAAGTTTTATTAAAATCTTTACCGCATTTCGAATGTTAACCCTTACAGTACCTTACAAGTTTTGCGGGTACCGTCCAAAAATACCTTGGAAAAATATACAATTTTTAAGGTATCTATTAGAATGAACATATTTCACTTAAAAATAAAAATATTTTCACGTTTTTTTGTTTATTTTATTGTGAAAGGTATGCAGCACTATATAAACTTATTTTATAAAAATAAAGTGTCATTACGCGTGTACAAATTATATTACATAAGGAAAGCCGATATATCGGCTGAAGGTATTTTTCCAAAAACCCACAAAGCAGTTTTTAACTTTTTTGTATCCCCCAAAGAGTTAGAATTTTCTATAAACGCATAAACATCCGCAGTCTGGTCATAACATGTGGTTTCATCACTGTAAAAATCACGATTTTACTGTCACGTGAAAACGTACCTTTACAGATCTTGGTTCGATGATGTTTGTATGTGTGTGGGAACGATCGGTCGCGGTACCCCACAGCGTCGTTGTTTACACGTCGAATACAGAAAGTGTACTAAAATCTTGACGAAGAGAGACACCACTTTTCTCTCGTGCGAGTTCACGACGCTCAGGCCTCTCGAGACCAACGAAGAAGAAGTGCCCCGGTTGACTGTGTTCCCGAGCGCGGGGGACAATTATAATGGTAAACGGTACGGCCCCGCTGCGCTGCCCTCCTCCCTCTCTTTCATTCTTCCCTTCTTTCGAGTTTACGGTACCGTGAGCAATGTGCATCATACACACATATGCACGCACGCACGCGGTGGTGATACTGTCACCATCTTTCTTTGTCACGTCGAGCAGACATCGAACATTACTGGTAAATAGACGAAAAATAACTCATTACCTATTGTATCAGAAAAGTTTTAATATATTATGTAGCATTTTAAGGGATGCATCGGATGGATCGGATATATAGTGACGCTTAGTAACTAAAGGGTTAAATTTGTACGATTGCACTTGAAATCGCGGCTATATGTTGGAATAATAGCTGCATTTTGAATTTCTATACACTGCATGGCATAACTATAAAACCACCCTAAAATTTTCAATTCTTATGTATTGTGGTTAAAATGCAAACGAATTATGTATGTCATGTTTGAAATCGTGTTATATTGTTAATGTATTCCCTAGAAAAAAAACTGCTTCGTTTTTTATTGTCACCACAATACATGAGGATTGAAAATTTTAAGTTGTTTTTATTGTTATGCCACGCAGTATACAATACGATTTGGCAGTTGGACTCACCGGTCGCAACGTACGGCATTTGTAAACGCGGCTTTAACTTTTTTCACCGCACCCTGACGAAAGAACACGGTGCCGGAGCTACGCGGTTATGAAGAAAGTTACGTGTGATCACACATTAAATGTGGAATTCCCCGATCGGTATCCGAATATGATATTATCGGACGGGTATCGATATGTAATAGATAATAAGAAACACGGCACCATCGTAATGCGCGACAAGGCGCTCCAGGTCGCTCTTAAATACATAACACACAAATCGCTTATTCATTCAACTTTAGCTCCGAGGTCAGATAAATGAATCTTACCCAATAAACGATGTGTGGAATGCGTCGCTCCTCGAGGATCCTTGATCGAATTTTAAACTGTCGTTCCACTATCCTCATCGGCAAAATATTTTTTTGCTATGTACGTATCATACGTACATACAGTGAGTCGCGAATTTGTTCATTAAAAACCACCATATTTGATTTGACTAAAATACGTGCCAAACTGCAAATTTTATTTCAAAATTACGAAAAATTTATAAGAAACAAATGATAGCAGATAAGACAATAAAGATAGACAAATGGGAATTGCATATAAATCGTTACAATTATTGTTTCGAAACTATGTGAACTAATGTGTGAGTCACTTTACGTCAATGGTGGAATCAGTCGTAGCTTTTCCCTTCGCTAACCGTAAATAAACGAGTGTGTGTTGTTTGTAAAGAAAAAGCGAAACGTCGGTCGAGACCGAAAGATGCTGTGTATTCGGTATGTTATTGCATTACTTCTAGCAAGCACGGCGTATATACGACGACAGATATATCATTTCACCGACCGCGTAGAATAATAGTTTAATGTTACATGTAGTACACTGAAAAAAACTAGCCAGGCTGAAGCCTGACGCCGTGTGTGTCACAGGCGCAGTAAAACGTAAAATAGAAAATATCCTCAACGAAATAACCGAACTGCTATTGTGTGCTTTTGTTCGTATAATTTTCATAGGAAATTCATTTGAAATACCGACACGTGCATCATAATAAGTATTGCCGGACAGTTATTGTATTATGTAGTAATCATAATTTGAAAATGTTAAAGAATCGAACGATTATGTAACCCTTGTATTGTACGTACATATGTATATGTATTCCGGTTTAATTTTTTTTCATCGCTGTTGCACACGTACGACTGCGTAGAAAAGCAAAGAAATGAACCCGGAATAAAACAGGAAGGCGACAGAGAGCGTCTGTCCGAAGAGGTTTGTTTTGATTTCCCTTCCGTTTAACCCGAGCTGCCAATCTATACCAGGCTGTTTGGACTACTTGTACATGGCCAAATGATTGCAGTGATGAGTGAGAGGAAACAACATAGTATTGTAACCAGCATGTAATTTACGTACAATACGATAAACACAATATTGTGATGCATCATTTATTTCCGTAAAAAAAGTAACTCTTAGACGCGCAAATCTTCGTGGACGTTGATTTCAAAGTGCCCTATCCAGCGTATGTATGTAATTCTTGCACTTGAAAATTAATCGATGTCATAATATTCTTATCTAATATTAATGATGATAGGAAATCGCTTATTACCATGCAATGATGTTTCACGTGACATTACAATATTAAGGCAGGGTCAATTTCATAGAACATTCCTACGAAATTTAGCTGGTGACAGAGTTCCGGGTAAAAAGAAAATAACACAATGTGTACATAAAAAAAAACTGATCGTTGAATGACGTAACAAGGTGACGAGATTTAAACGAGTAGAAATTTAAAAAAGGCTTGCAGATCGATTCATAAAACAAAGAAAATGTTTATGCGATTTCAAGTTACCGAACCAAATGAACCGAGTCCGTTTCGTTGGAATTAGTTCGTAGGTTAGGTTGGCCGTTGTATTGACCGGGCAGCCACGGCGCTGTGTATTGACGCAAAAATTTGGCGCCTTCAAAATGGTCGTCCTCGCCGCCCGTCGAGTTTTCACGGTTACCACAGGGATTAAGAGAACATTCGGTTTACTCACCACTTCTCTGCATCGTCCCGGTGAATCGTTACAACGACTCATTAAACATAACTCTTGTGTCAACTGTGCAGCGTGAGAGGTGCAGAATTAATGGACCACCGTCGACGTATCCATTGACGCGACACCACCAGTACACCTTGTCAACACAACCGTGCAACTCGTATGCCTTAACACAGACGAACCGTCCGTCTGGAAAGCGTTTTCAAATGATCTCGAAGTGGCTCGAACGGAGATCGAGACATGCGTGCGCAGGGGACACACGGGTTATGTCAACGGTTCTACAGAGACGTACCTACGGAGCAATGACTTTCCTGTCAAGCACTGAGATCGGAGTTCCGCGAAAGAATATCACTACGTACCGTTCAAATATCGATACACTGTAAACTCATCCCGAGTCAACCAGATCTTCGAGTCAATGAAAATTTCGCGTTAAATAAACGAAGCAAAGTTAGCCACGAATACGCAGATGTTCTCGTTGAAATTTAAATATGGCAATTCACGCTGCTGTTTAAAGTTTAACGTTTAGATTAAATTGCTCTGATCGAAAACGACCTTACATATCGTTTTTTCAGTTGTTATTTATTGGAAGGATATATCACTAGACAGTGAATTTTATTTAAAACTTGTAGAGTAACATAGAATAAAGTTCAACGAAGTTTTCATTTTATTCGAAGCTGAATGAAATCCTGAATATAGAATTATTAGGTTTTGATTTCAGTTTCTGTAAATCAGTTCATACAAATTTATTTATGTTATAAACTTTGTAGTCTAAATATCACTACATATTTTCGAATATCAATGCGAAAACACGAGAAACATGTGCGTTTGAAACAATGAGAACCACCTTGAAGACGTAGGAATATTTAGATGTGTCCAGTTAGGAACAGTGACATATCTATCTGAACGTTGGACAGAATGGTGTATTCTATTCTAAGTAAATGGAAAAGCTATGCCGATTAACCAAGCGATAATTCCTCGATTAACTTGCAGTTTTCGTCCGGTTTTATATAACAACAGATGAGAAATCATGTCAGGAATAGTTAAAATACCGAAATTTAATATTGTAAATGCCACTAAAACGCACACTGCTAGTTTATTATTCTTTCATGGTTCAGGTGAGGTGTCATTGGGTATAACTACGGACATTATCTTTAACTGAAAATTAACTTAAAATAATTACATGCTACACGATCATAGGATCTTCTGGGGATGACGCGAAAGCGTGGATAGATCTTTTACTCGGCGAGGAATTGAAGTTTGCACACATAAAAATTGTTTATCCTACTGCACCTGCTCAACCTTATACCCCTAATTATGGAATGGTATTCAACAACATAAAACATCTGGCACTATTTATAATACTAAGATTACTAATTACTTATATAAAATATTATTCTAGCCCAGCAATGTATGGTTTAATCGCAAGAGTATAAGCATTAATGTTGGTGAGGAAGTAGAATCGATAAATTCAACGTGTGAAAACATAGTGGAATTAATTGATGCAGATGTTTCCAAGGGCATTCCATATGAAAGAATTGCTGTTGGTGGTTTTTCAATGGGTGGTGCATTGTCAATGTACTTAGCATATAGATACAAACAATCTTTAGCTGGATGCATTGCTATGTCCAGCTTTCTTAATAGAAATTCACTAGTATACGAGGTATACACTTATATACAGAGTTTTTAATATGTTCCTCTTGTCAATAACAGTATTGTCTTTTTTGTCAGTCATTAAAAGCAAATTTAGGAAGGACACCACCCCTCCTACAGTTCCATGGTACAGCAGATGAAATGGTTCCACTTAGATGGGGAGAAGAAACTTACAACAACCTAAAAGACCTTGGAGTGAATGGCCAATTTAGAACATTAAATGGTACAGGTCATGCATTAATTGTATCTGAAATAAAATTCTTCAAAAAATGGATTTCCGAAATTTTACCAGAAAAATAAAGTTTGTATTTTTGTACAAAGTGACATATAATATACAGAAGACAAAAACAAAGGAACATCTCGATTGAATTTTACTCCTTTAATTCCTCTGGCTTAATATTAATCATGTTTTTTAAAAAGAAAAATTATAGTCCGCATCAGTAGGACCGTGTTATCGTTTTACAAAAAAAATCGAGTGACGTAAGTGATATTATCATGAATGATAGTGCTATCAGAAATATATTTTACAATCTCGAAGTAAACTATGTTCCTGAATGATGAAGCTATGTAATGCAGCATATATATTCGTAAATAAAATTTTATACTCTTTCAATAAACCGTTAAAAAATCTGCACAGAAGGAGAGGATCAGACTATTGAAGTATTGGGAGGTGTGACAAAGAAGGGTTGAAAGAACGATGACGATCGCTTTCATCCTGTGCATAGGGGTGGGAAAATAAAAGAAGCGCCACCGAGGTGGCCATAGTCGAATAGTCGAATCCGACGAATCGTTGGCTTGGCCAGTGTCTCGAGGGGCCGTGAGGAGGTTGCAGTGTCTGACAAACTGCTGCGAGAAATTTCGAGAGTGGTCGAACATTTGACACACTGGCCTTGCAAAATTTCATGCAACCCATATATGTTAACAAACGTGTGGCAAAAAAAAGAAAACTACTAAATTATTATGATTGTCGTAAAAGAAAAAACATCTGAAACACAAAAAAAAAATTAAGGTTAAAAATATCAGTGGAATATTTCTCCTAAATCAATATTTGTAAATCGTGAACAAACGAAGATTATAATTCGACACTTTATGTGATGACAGTGAAAACCTCCTTCGGGCGTCGAGATGTGATTTTGTTGTTCAGGTAACTGGAATGTTTGCACAACCTTACGCATAACAGATTATTCGAAATATTGTTCGGATACTGTGATCAATCAATGTTAATCTCGGAGGGATTGTTAATTACTAAACCAAGCCAGGGGAACGGTAGTGTAAATTTTCATGTAATAAAATATACAGTGGCATACCTAAACGTTGCACAGAAATCGACTGTCTTCTTGGAATAAGGAAACTGATTCGTAGGACGTGTCGTCGTGGTGAATGCACAATGCATCGATGGTAAATAATATGGCGCGGCTTCATCTGCAGTCGGTGACGTCAAGTCACGACGACGACGAAGGGGATGTCAGTGATTCAATATAAGAGCGGTTGAACAGGTCGGTTACGGTTACAGGAACCGTCGTAGTGGAAAATGAACAGAAATGTTCCGATTAAATAGCCAATGAATGAAGTTCATACGTTATTTGCCGTTACAACGTGGAAAATTGCAAATCAAGGAAAATATATTTAAGTGTAGGATACATAAATAAATATATGACGTTAAGTGTCTCCTAAAGTTTATCCGCGTTATAAGTAAACAACGTTACCGTCTGTATCTCTAATGGAATCGTAAATGGTGGAATTGCTACGAACCCCGCTATTATTATATTTAAATGCTGTATTGCGTACAATGATGCCGATTAGTATTAACAACTGAATTCTCTAATGAACATATTTAAACGATAATGTACAAACCGAACAAGTATATAGGGGTAACGAAAAACAAAAGAACAGGAAATGTAGAGGAGAAGAACGACGATGAATCAGTGTTCTAATCATAATCATCGAGCTTAAGGGATCAGAAACCAAAGGGTGCCCTTGAGAAACGGGGGTTCGTCTCTAAAAGGAACAACAAAAAAAGGAAAAATTCTGTATTGACCCAGGCGGACGAACCCAGAAGGCTCTCTCCCCTATTGCGGAACAAAACGGAGGTATCGAAGACCGAAAAGCAGTAGGTTGATGTAAAGTGGGGAGAAATATTGAAATGAGTCAAGAGTGTCTCCGACGATGACAGTGTTATGCTATTCAACTTCACACTCCGATGTCTTCTTCCTCGTGTGAAGATATCCTTCCGCGCGAACTTGTCGTCGTAGGTGATCCTTGAAAAAAATCACAATATATAGTACCCGTTCCGTTCACCCATCGTTCGAAATGTCATTAACAACGGGATACGGCCACGGGACTTATTGAGTTTCCGGTATTAATCGGCGGGAAACTGCATAAGCCCGGAAAAAGGACATTGGGGTAATCGAAGGAAATAAAAAAAACAGAGAGTGGAAATGAGACCGCCGGTGGAACGGGACGAACGACCGTGTTATCACGTTCACGACGATTGACGACCAATCGTCACCACTGTCGCCGCCGCCGCCGCCGCCGCGCGCGCCATATTTAATTCGGTTAACGTATCTCCTTGGTTATTAGTTCTGTACGAGTAGAAAATCTTCAATGGACTCGCGTCATGCAACGCGTTACGTACGCGGGTTGTCGATGTGATTGCGTTACGGTTTAGAAACCGTCAAAGACGGAGAGGAACATCCATTGGTTTTTTGTTTGTTTTTCGCGGCGGACAGCCAAGAAAACACGCGGTTTTACATGGTTTTCGGGTCGCATAAAGGAACAGAAGCGGTAACCACGACGGGCAACACTTGGCTGTACAATACCACCACCCAAGGTAAACAAAATATTTTTAATATACACGGTGTCACTTGAATTATACGTAGCGAGCCCGGGAAAGGAAAACCATTGAAATATGTATGTTATTTTTAAATATTTGCTACATATAACCAGTTTTTTTTTTAAATTTTCTTGGTACGACTGATAATTCTATCCTATTCGATTAATTATATTTGGAAGATGTTGGACTGACCCACTGGCCGCGCTGGTATATATGAATACGACCATGATTACTGCACATTTCTACTTTCACTCCGCCGTTCTTCCGGGCAAAGAACGAAATTTATTCTATTAGCATAAGAGAGAGTGATCCGATGTCCGAAATAACGCTCGCTTTCAGGCAACAAAATTCACGCGCGATCTTTACGATATTATGAGAAACGATTGAAACTTAACGACCCCGGCTGTTTTCACGATTTAGTTGGTTTATCAGGAGAACAACGTTTAAATGAAACTCGATGGAAAAAAAAACTACTAGTCACGAGACTGGACTATTGCCAGGAGCGCGTACGTTAGTATTATTGTGCGCTCCGCATTGCGGATCAAAATACATTATTGCTTATAATAAGTAGCATTATTCCAAGACGTGAAATAAACGGGAAATAGAAAAAGAATTCGTAATCTTGGTTTACAAACCCTTCTCTGGAACTCGTCCGTAAGAACGTGATCATTATCACGGTAGAAAAATGAATTTTAATCCTTTCAGTACGATAGGTGACTCAGCGTGTCAGCTTTTTAAAGTCGCAAAAAAATACCAAAAAGCTTCAACAGACATATAAAAACTTGAAACTTACCAAATTCACTGAGACAAATACATAAAAACTTTCGTATGTTTCAAAAAATAGACGTAGATCGCTTGGCGTTCCTATTAAATGTTCAGCTACTCTAGGATAACTACCCTGTACTGAAGGGATTAAATAGAATAATTCTGACCCCCTTTTAAACAGGAACTTACGCTATAAATAATTCTTATAGTGAACCACACGTAGGGACCAGGATTCGTGAAACCCTCTCGAAAGCTCGATCATGAAAAATATTCATGATCAAGTCAGTTGAGAAATTCAAGTATTCCCTCCAAAAAAAGGTTTAAAAAATATAAAACGGGTCGGTTTAATATCAGTATTCTCGACTTTCAACTTGAATTGTATTATAATATGATCTTCCTGTTATTTCAATATATATATTGAGCTAATTGATGCCCATTATAATAAATTATTATCATTATAATATAGATATTTCACCCGAAGGGGGCGCTGAACAAAAAGAAACTATGAAAAGGGGGTGGTGACTGTAAACAAAAAAAAAAAGGGTTGGGAAATTATAGCTCCTAAGCGGATCGAGGAATGTTTCAGGCGCGATGAGCAGCAGCTCAGGGTTAGGATTCGGCGTCGGTGTCGGTGTCGGCGTCGCTGGCGGACCAACCCTGGCGGCCGCTCAACAGGGCCAAGGTGTAGCCGCGCTGCTGGTGATGCTCGCGGTGCTATGCTTCATATTCGCTTATTGCTGTTGGGGCGCGCCGTTTTGCCGATCCCTGTGCAGACGGCACTGTTGCTGCAGACTGGAGGATCCGGAGCCCGATTCACGATTCGGAAACAGCGACCAGGCGATGGTCGCAACGCCGACGATTATCCTCTTGCCGCACGGTAGGATGCTCGTTGTGGACGGTACGATCTTCACGCAGTTCCAAACCGACCCCACCGGTGAGATATTTCAACTTGGTAGTATGTACTAGCTCTTTTAGCGAGAGCATAGAAAGTATTGTGATCTAGGGGTCCAAAATGTTTTCATAATATTATTTTTTGAAGGGGGAGAAGCTATGCCGTACAGTGTTGTAGGTTTTCTATTGATTCGTTGCAAAGTCTTTATAATATCCTTGTGGCATTATCTAAAATAATATTCACGCTGGTGTAGACCTCGTGGAACCGTGTATGGTTACATTAAAACCAGGTTGTTAATTTATGAAGGGTTCACGAACACCTGTACCCCCTCGCCACTGTAGAAAGACCAGTAGGTTCACAATTCTAATAGTTGAGCGTAAGGTCTTCAGTGGTAGGTTCAGCTTGATCAGATATAGTCAAAAAGATACTACAACCTCCTGTATCATAACGATTCGTCAAGTAGTGATTATTATGTATATAACAGGTTTAGACCTGGTGGAACTCGGCGATAGTGTTCTCCGTGCCCAAAGGAATCCACGAAGCATAAACAGGCATCAGCTGCAAAACAGTCAAGGCAGCATATTAGAGATGGACGCGGAAACACCTAGTAAAGACAGTCTTGGGTCTATAGGATGTTTCCCACCCCCGACGTACGAGAGTATATACGGAAAGGAAGAGTCGGATATGCCGCCGTCGTACTCCGACATTCTGTTGCACAGGTGAACACCGTGTACAGTAAACGCTTGAACTACAACGGCAGAACTAAAAGTACGTTTTCACGTGACAGAAATCGTGATTTTTTACTGTCACAAGAAAACGCACCTTTAGTATGGGGGGGGGGGGGCACTCGATGTATTACCGCGTCCTAGAATTTGCCTCTTCTATAGTCCTAGCCACGGCAGTATATAAAGGGTCCACTGCATAAACTTTTCTTTCGTTGGTTGCTCGTACAATTGGGAGATTTTTGAAATATTCCATGTTTCTTCGAAATATTCCATTCTCTATTCACCTCCTTCGCAGGTTTGCCAATCTTCCGCACGAGATCGACATACACAATTATCGTTCGGATGGTAAAGAGGAGATCGAGATGCAGAGCTTGGACGGTTGTCCTCACATACTAAGCAACCCGATGAACGCGATACCGTATCCGTACACGTCGGTAACAAGCTTCTCTAGTCAGAGTTTCCCGCGTAGAAACGTCACGAGGAATCCGTCGATCATCAGTAATCCATTGGACAGCTATTACCTGGACAACGAGCTGGAGTTGTATCGTATGACACCGGGAATGATGCCGCGTGTGTTCAGCAACACGAACTTCGAGGCCCTACGAACGTACGAGACCACCTCGTTCCATACGATTAACGGAAACGAGGGCGAACGGCGTCCGAACGAGTCGCTGCTGTCGTCCGATAATGGGAATCGTTGCGCGACCGATAACGTTGTACGAAATAATGAGAGAACAACGACAACAACGACACTGAACGGCGTTGACGAGCCGTCCAGAAACTTAGCCACCGGAAACGAATTAATGAACACGAGGAATCTGGCACGAAGTATGTCGCGGATCAGCCAAGAGAGTAGAAACAACACGGAGAATTCACAGAGGGATTGCCACGGTCAATCGTCCCAGAACAGGTGTAACGAGACTGACAGATCGAGAAGCCAGCAGGTGGATCAAGATGAACCGTCGTCTGATCTTAGGAATGTACGCTTTGAGAACAGCCAAGGAATCGACGAAACCGATACGAACAACGAATCCAATCCGGTCGGATATTATATTCGAAACAGAGGCTCCGATGAAGTAGGTAGATCTCAGTCAGCGGAAATCGAGTCGAATTATTCGGACGAGGAGACTAGGAATTTCGGAGCCCTTGCGGATATCCGTGAGAGTCGAGTATAAATGTGATGTCCTAGGAGGATGTACAATTGTACACTTTCCACGCCAGAAATATGTGTCGAACAACGACAGGTACGAGAAATTCTCTGACCAGGTATACTGGTTGCTAATTGAGAATCCCATGCATGAATACACTGGTGCTTATTTTGATTCGTCGTCTAAGTTATAAGTGTTTTCAATTAAGCTTTGATAGTAAAATCGATAAATGACTTTAATTGACTGTTGATTTAAAAATCGAATAAAATGTAAAGAATTAAAAACTGAATTTCAGTTTAGTTGTTATAGTAAGTATAACATTTAAGGAAGTCTGTACGAACGTATATAAACGATTGAATTAATTTAAAACTAGAAGTTACATTTACTTGCAAACTACCGAAAAGAGTTATCAAATGTAACAAGGTCAAAGTTCTGAAAAATAATTTTATATATGTAAGAAATGTACAATCAATTTAATTGCGGCACAATAATCGAAGGGAAATGATGTGGTGAAGTTAGTTCAGTCCGTCCAAGGGTTAATCTACACACTAGGTTCAATATATATTAAGAAAATAATCACTGTAAGTCGAGTTAAATATTTTGTACATGTTATTAGTAAATCATGTTCGAATCTATTTGTTATATGTTCGCTTTATCGTATTACTTTTTACTATGAAATGCAGTATAGTGAATAATATCTGACGTACAAGCTTAGCACAGGATACATATAATATGTATTTATACATGTTCATTGAGACAGTAACATGTTGATATCATTGAAAATGACAAGACAAATAAAAATAAGATGTGTATAGAATAACTGTTGGACACATTAAGTCCTATGTACAGATTATCTCGGTGTACCCCTAAATTGAATTTGAATTCATTATTCTAAAGCTATGGCTTAAATACACACAGGAAAATATGTTGTGTAAGTTTACAACAAAAAATATTATGGCACTATTCTTCAGCCATAATGACGTGGCATGAATGGCATTACAATAGGAACAAACTTTAGATAGCATCACATATGTGTTATAAACATATGAGAAATTATAAGAAATTATACATTGTACACATTATTATTATTACTATTGTTGAGTAGCTCAGAAAATATCAAATATAAATTAAAATATTTAATAAGAAATCAATACTTTCGTCTTTTTGTAACACTGAAATATTGAAAAAGAAAGGACAATTATTTTATCAAACTTTAATATACGTATTATGTAAAGACTCGATCAGTGGTAGAAAGTCTTTAAAATATATTGAAAATGTAATTTTACTCAATTTTAATGATAGTAACAATTATATCGTTATAAGCTGAAAAGTATTAATAACATACCTTTAAATTACTTTTATACAAATGATTCTTTGATATCTGGAAAAATATTTCATATTTTTATATAATTTAATTGTCACTATCCATATCTTCTGGAGCTGAGGAATCCTCATCCTCATCTCGGCGGTCCCAATCTTTCAATCTTGTACCCATTACAAAATCATCCCTTAGAACACTCCATGTTTCTTTATCCTTTTAATAAAATTATTTAATGTTTGTTATAGCATTGGTTCAAAATAATAATAATTATATCAAATATAATATACTTACCTTCTCTTTACTTTCTGCATTCTTTGGCTCTTCATTTTTTAAAACATTATCTACTGGAATACTTTTACTTCCTCCCATGAGAATATCCAAAAACGAATTTTTATTAATATTTTTTAAGACTTGCTCGCGTTTTCTTTCTAATGGACCAGCTTCTACTAATTTTTTATTAATTTCACCTTGTTGTTGTCTTACTGCATTGAACAATTGTACCACACCTCTGCAAACAAATTGTGATATCAACCATTTTAAACCAATGAATAAAATAATCTTTCTAGTTTTAAAATAGAACATGATTACTTTGTTGCAATTTTCTGTAACATTCTTTCACGTTCTCTATCTGCTATATTTGGTTTTACTCTGATACCTAAATGATCTTTTCTTTTTTCTTTTAGTTGTTTCACTGACACTTGAACATTATCACCAATCTTTTCTGGTTCATCAGTTTTTATTTCCTCTTTCACTTTTTCAATTTCAAATAGCAACTCTTCATTCTTCTCCTTCTTTACAACATCGCATAACTTTTTTGCTTTAGACAAAACTATAGTCTTTTTACGTTTCGGTTTCTTTGTCTTAAGAATTTTTTGCATAGCATCTGCCCAACTGGGATTGCCATCAACTTTGTGAGTATTGGATACATCACCCTCAAATTCTGTTTCCTCGAATCCATTTGTTGAAATCTGTAATTCCTGTGTCTCTGTTTCCATGGTCTCATCGGTACTATATTGTCCATTGTCATCAGTGTCATCACTGTTCTTCGTTAATTCAACTACAATGACAATTTATTATTAAAATGTGTGTAACTATATTAATTCTGAGTCTATTTGGACCCAGCCACAAATCTACCATCTAATGTTTATTACTTAATTACATTAAGAATTATTTTGTCTACAGATTTACTCTTTGACATAAAAAGAAATTAATGGAAATGTGTCATCTCAATAATAGAAACTAAAACATGTGGAAATAATACGGATTACAGTAGATCTAATCGTCCTCGTTTGTGCAACTGTTGGAATCATTGGTATCACGAAGGTTAAATATTAATTTCAGAAAGGTTAAGAAAACGGCCGGAACTTTATTTCTTAAGGTCTGAATAATATTAAAATGGATTCGATTTCTAACCTTGCGATTTTTTCCGTGGTTTTTCAAGTTTAGCTGGCATATCCAATGTAACCATCATTAATTAAAATATAAACGATATAACTAAATAAGCACCAACAGGTTATGGGTACAGACAGGTCAGATAACATCACAACTCTTCTCCACTCTTTTCACAGGTTATCTTTTTTTATTTGAGTGAAAGCGAAAACAATTACGATTAAATATTTTTTTTCAATGGCGACAGATTGTTGGTTGAACTATCCTCAACTATCCTGCATTGATATTGAGCATTAATAATTGTCGACCATTGTCGACTAAGGTATTTTATTCAATTTTATTGAATTTTCATTTTGTTTACCTATACATAATGGTAAATTTGATTTTAAAAAATCCGTGACACTATCTACAGCAAAATTGTAGTCACTACAATTAGTATCTTTATCTGTCGCTAGATGACGCTATATTTTCTTTAAAACAGTATGAAGTGGATGAAGCATATGAAGTATTCGTCTCACTGTAATTTCCAATGCATGCATACATATTAATTTTTGCAATAAATCGATATCATATGGGAAATGTAACGTAAAATATTTTAAGTTTAACTAGAGGTCGCTAAAATCACAGGAGTTTTTCAGGTGCCGGTTTACAGATTCCTAGGGCCACGAAGTCCTGTTGTTTCGTAGATGACGATGACGCTATAGGTATTTGCACACACAATATCAAACTATGGTAGAAAAAAATAATTTATTACGACAGAATATTATAATAGCACAGAGGTATTCGATAGTGATAATATTTTAAGCAATTTATTGCCAATTAAAGATGTGCAATACCTGAATACAAACAAAAAGTAAACTACATACTTACATACCATTAAAATCATACGTATGTGATACAAAGAAAAATTATACTAATACAAAATGCCTTGGCAAATGCAACTGTACAAATTCATACTTAACAATTCAAAAGATTTCGAATAAAAATAAAAAGAGTAAACACTTGTATAAAAAATATATAAAGTAAATATTCTAGATATGTGAAATCTTTTAATTATCGTAACATTATATGATACACTGTAACAGCAATAATAATGTAAATTGTACTACGTATTTTCAATTTCTATTGGTATCATTCATTTATATTTACTGGAACTTCTTCTTCCTTCTTGAAAAACATTTAAATTTCTTTTGCTCGATTGAAAACTACAAAAAAAAGTAACTTTTTTTTGCCTGTTCTTTTCATAACTACGTACTTGGTGTGTATTCTCTTGAAAGTTCTAGAACGTGTAGAATGACATCATCTACGGTTTTCGTTGTTAAGAGAGACTTCACTGTATCGTCCTCTATAACAACGGTGAACAGAAGTTTCACGTTTTCTCTTAGCCGTTCAGTAAAGAGTAAATTGCTATCTGACGTTAACGGCGAATGTCCACACCTTCTAATCACGGCCTCTAGGATATCTTGAATAGGCGCTTCAGGCCAACCAAATAGCTGTAAAGTATCAGAACAAATTAAATACTGTTTGACGTCGTATGCTTATTACAATGAGAAATTAGTTTTTTATTACTCTGTATACCTGAAGAGTATCGTCATCGATCAATATTTTTAACAAATCTGAGATAGCTTTCAATAAATCGTCGGTACAGAGCTTACTGGATTCACCCTTTTTCGTCTTTTCTGCAGCAAGCGTTGCAATATTATACAGTTGCGTTTGTAAATGTTTCTTTTCCACCTCGTTCATAACATCTTCTAACAATTCACGATGCTTTGCCTTTATGTGCCTCATCAAACAATCTTGCCGAATGAACACTCTGTTGCATTCAACACAGGACTGCGGTGGTTCTCTTCTGTGTGTGTTCAAATGAGCTTGCAAAGAAGATTTGGTGGAGAAAGGTTTTTCACATTTGTCGCATTTGAATGCTGTATCGAATAACAAATCATTATTACTCGCACGGTACTCTATAATTATGATACATAGTAAATTTCAAGACGCTTGTAACTTACGTTTAATGCCCGTATGGAGTAAGGAGTGTTTAACGAGATCTTCTCTTCTTATGAATCTCTTTTTGCACACTTCACACGCGAACGGAGTCGCGCCTTCGTGAACGAACTTCTTATGAACGTTCAAACGAGCCTTGCGATTGAACACTTTTCCACATACATCGCAATAGAAACCATTTTCCCCAGTATGATGAAATATGTGTGCCCTCAATTGCGCCGCTTGAATAAATGACTTTTCACAATACTGGCAGACATGAGGTTTATTTCCGGTATGGGTTCTCTCGTGACGATTCAAGGTTTCACGGGCAGCAAATTTCTTCTTACACTACAATAATTAAGAGGTATTCTGTACTAGGTAGAAGTCTCCTTAATGGAATTTGTTCTATGCTAGTTCAACGTTCTAAGTTAAAAGTATTCAATATTCTGAGACTGCCGAAACTTACACAATATTCCCCGTCCATAATGGTTGCTTGTAAAAATTACGCAAGAGGATTATTATTACAAAAACGGGGGCTTAAAAATCAGTATCGCATTTCTTCCAAAAGATATGAATTATTGACCCAGAGGATCAGACTGAATCTCTAAGATTGATACTTACATGTTGACATTCAAATGGTTTTTCTCCCGTATGCACGCGCCTGTGCTTTTTCAATGCTAGAGTTGACATAAACGTTTTTGGGCATAGATCGCATTGAAGTGGTCGCTCTCCTGTGTGCACACGTTCATGAACCAGTAATTGATGGCTAGTGGGAAATTCCTTAGGGCAGTATTTACAACGTTTCTTAGGCCTTTGAACGTTTCCAGCATGTGTCCGTAAATGTTCGCGTAAATTATCCTTACGTGTGAAAACTTTTTGACAAACCTATAAAAGTTTGTATGACACAAACCATGTAATTTCTTCAACTGTATAAGAATTATAAATGACGAATAGAAAAACTTACTTGACAACTAAATGTAGTAAGGATATTACCATGACAACCGGACTGCATAATATGTCTATTTAAATGGTAGCTTCGTGAAAAATAAGTATCGCAACGCTCGCATCTAGGGTTTGAATAAATTATTTCATACAGTCGATTATGACCATTGCTTCGGATTACAAGAGAAATATATACTCACTTAAAAAGCCTTTGATCCTGATGGGTAGTGTAACGATGTTTATTTAATGCGTTCTTACTATTAAATGTTTCTCCGCATTCGTTACAGAGAGAAGTATCATAGTACCAGTGAACTACTACAATGTGTCTATCTAAAGATGATTTTTTCTTAAATGATAGGCCACATTCCACACACTTATGTTCACCCCCGCTGTGTGCAGTAGCTATATCTTCTGCACAGCAATGACACTGAGACTCAGGTACAGGCATAATTGTTGGTTTGTGATTAGTTTTCGCATTGTTAGAATTAGAATCTGTAACCATCAGTTTACATATTAAATATATGTATTGACATGTTCCAAGAACATGTATGCAATGTATTTTATACCTTCATGATTGACGTCATCAACATGTTCTGAATTATCATCCCTACCATCATCATCCGACTCATTCTCTATATACCTGAGTTCTATCATATTCATAGAGTCATCTTCTTCTCTGCATATGTCTAAATGTTCCTTCAACATCTGTTGAAATAATTGACATTTTTTTGAAACATGCAATATAGAATGCAGCTGTTTACTTTGAATTGTAGCAAATAAAAGCAAGTTAGTATAAGTAAAAAATATATTATATAAAACTTACATCCTGGGACTGAAAGACTCGACGACATGTTACACATTCATAATCTGTTATAATTTGTATTATCTGATCACCATGAGCAATAACTGCAAAAGTATAATAAAAAAAGCTACAATAAGTAAACAGAAAAATGCAAATAACATAAAAGAGGAAAATCGTTTCTTTTAAATAACATCAAACAAATGTGTATGTCTATTTCTTACCATTTATATCAGTAGATTCAGATTCAGTGGACATTATGACAGTTTCTTCTATACTATCTGTAACTGAAATAACCAAGAATTAATATTGAAACGATTATCATGAACACGTATGTAACACGATAATGTATACAAGTTACCAAATATATTATCCACTGAAGGTGTACGTTTCAGTGGCGATAGTTCCTCAACTTTCACAATTTCTATAACAAAAACAATACGATTTGTATGCCATATACCACTCAATATACAAGGCACAATGCTCCTAATCAGAAAAAGTATAAATACCCATTATTTCCTCCATTATTCCTGATATATACAATTTAGAACACCAAACGATTGCCCGAGTTTTTCGAAAGTAAAATGTACTTGTGTAATTCGAGTTCGAAATCACGAAACGTGCACGTAAATTACGACAGACTAATAAGAATTGCTTTTGTGGCTTGATAACTCTTTTCAAGTTTCTAATGAAAAATAATCACTTTAAGAAAAGGCAAAGATGAAATAACTGTTTTCGGTAAACCAGTGACACTTTTACACTGCCGTTCACTGCCGTTTCAAGCTTGTTTCAATATTACATACTTCCATCTGCCCCTGGAGGGATAATCCCAGTAAGCCTGTACGCACAACAAAATGGCCTACGTCAAGGGGCACGCCTTCCACATTTTTGTCCAATAAGTACGTGTTCCCATAAACAGCTGCAAATTTAATTTCAAAACTTTCTATTATATAAATATCGCCTTTCCATTTTCTAAATGAACTTTTATCGTTATATCTATTAAAATAGAAAAGGTAATTACATAATTGAGTAATTACATCGCTTTAGTCACAGCTGACTCTATGTACTTTAGTATATGTACTAATAAAATTACTTATATGAGAGTTGTTTTTACATTAAATGTTATACGAAGAAAATGTTAATTTAATAGGAATTAATGCAACATATTAAAATCCAGAATAGTAAAATTATTGATAAATGTTTGGATCATATATTGTCGATTAGTGATTGCCGAGCGACGCATCTACAATGTTTTCTACGGAGTGTTCCAAAAGAAACAGTACCCACGGTACCTGAGGGAACTCCCCTCTTTTGGAACACCTTTGTAATAAGAGAGGTTGTAACCAAGAGTTAATTACATAGAGTAGAAACATAAAAGTCTAATAACTTCTGTGTTGGTGCTATTTACATAAAATGTAATTTATTTCTTAGCCAGTATTGCATTATACATTAATGAAAATGTATTTTATGTTGTACAAAAATTTGAATAGTAACTAGACTGCAGATTATATGCACTTATAGCAATTATGAACATGCAGAACACACTAAAATGAATGCTTTAGAAAGAATTAGTTGAATAATTTTTTTATTTTCAATTTACTAAATATTTTAATAAATGCAATAAACTTTTCCTCAATTATAGTCACTGAAAAGTAGAGTATAAAAATTAGAATTTGCATAAATATCCACAATCTAATAGTAACATATTAGAGACAAATGTTAAACAGTCGATGGTTACATTGTTATTAGATTTTAGGCTTTCCAGATTTCACTTTCTTTAACTTCTTCAGACCATTGATATTTGATTTTAACAGATTCCAATATGCTTGTTGAAATTTATTTACATCCTTGGAATGAATCTGAAAATCAGAATACAATTCATGGTTTTTTATTTTGATTTATATAAACTCTAAGTAGATAAAATGATACATACAATAGTCGAAATCTTTCTGGATCTTAAAGTAGCTCTTACTAAACAAAGAAATTCAGTTGGTGTTGGTAACGGTGGCCTGCCTTCCCTGGGTACCGGTTTGTTGTATCCATTAACTAATACCGATTACAATATATATATATATATATATATATACAAAACTCGTAATAATAAAATTTTCTGCAAAGTAACAACACGAGGGACTTACATCTTTTAATGGTGAGCACTACTGAACCAGAAAGACGAGATTTCTCGAAAAGTCGTGTTAGCTCACCTAAAAACTGAAATTAAAATTAATACAAAGCTTTCAGATCAACAGCGTGTTTTGGATACCGAGAATTACCGCGTCGTTCTCTAACAGAACCATATTGTTAATCCTAACATATGCCTTTTACAGTCTGTCAAGCACAGTTGAGCACAGTTTTCTACGTTACAGGTTAGAAAGCTTATTTATAAGTACTAATCATGGATCATGGGTAGTAAATACTACGCTCTGCCAACTTGAAAATTACCAGATAAAAAACTCTCATATGTATAACCATTGAATACCTCGACGCAAGATAGAGAACTCATTGCTGCTGGTTTACTTCCATGCGCTCAAAATTATAAAATTTCATCGAAATCGTTCAAAATATAAAATTCTTTTATCAGTAAATTAATAAGGCTTGAATGATACATATTCCGAAATAAATTGTATTTAAATGGTGAAATATGATGAAAAAGAATACACTTGTAGTTTTTGTAGATAACGTAACTTTTACCGATACAAAACTTGCATGCTTATAATAAGTAAATCTTTCAGCGGATGATTGAAAAAATGATTGAAAATAGACCACGATGGCAAATACGAACGTACACGTAAAAATCAGTGAAAATAACGAGTGCATTTACGAGAATAATACTAGCGTCGAGCAGAATAAGAATAATTTATGTGTCTTAATTTCGTGTTTGAAAGACATGCAGATCAAAATTAACGACTTTTTAACCAGCCTCGTCGAAAAACAACACGATTCTGTTAATGTTGAAAGTAAATAAATTTGGAAACGATATGTACACTCGTGTAAATTATTTATTGGATGGGTCGTGAAAACTAATAAATTTTTATCAATTTTAGATCGGCTAACGTCGGAGAGCGAATCGGATTATGAAGAAGAGATCGAAGTTAACCCTAAGAAATGCAAACTGACTGATTAACAGTCTACTATATACATATATATATTTATATAATTGTTTATTACGTTTGTTGTTATACACTTTTTGTATGGCGCTTTAAGATAATACACGTATCATTCCCATACGGGGCGTAATATATTTGTCGTCTGAAGCGTGTTGACAAGTATCCAGTTGCTCAGAAAGTTTTGATGCTAGAAAGCAATAAATCGAATATAAGTGAACGAAAGTTACATCATCGATAAGAGAAAACGTGACCGGTAAACATAAGTTTCTTCCATTACATAATTTTTATATTGTACAGCAATAATTAAAATTACAAATTCCTTAATTCCATGTTCTAATGTACCACATTTATCAATAATTTACGCTATTTTATATTATTAATTTTTTTAACATTCACTTTTTTTATTTTCTTTTTATTCATTTATTCGTTTTGTTTTTCGTTTGAGTTGCACTACATTCACTACTTTTATTTTATAACTTTTATTTTGCAGATAAAGTATGTCTGTGCTGTTGTCAAATGAAGCCCAACTGCGCTATGTAATAGAGTGGTTTCAAGAATGGTCAGAAATGCAGAGAAATGACTTTCTAAGTGTGCTCATCGAACAATGTGGCCCTGCTGGTCTTGTGAATGGGTTAGCCTCCAAGATGGAAACGCTGAGATGCTCAGAGAGATCTGACAGACCTCCAAACATATACCAATGTCGGGTGAAACTATTTAAGAAATGGAGCAACAATTGGTCCCAACAGGACAAGGAGTCTTTGCTCTCCTCGATCAAAAACACAGATCCTGCTTTTGCAGAGAAGTATGAAGAGAAACTGTCTACTCTAGTGAGTGAAGATAAAAAATCATAAATAAACGTTACAAAATAGCTAATAAGTTTATTCTAGAACAGTTTTATCATTCAATTGGAAAGTTATACATATGATCAGTGTGTAATAGGTTTTTTTTTATATATAATTAAGATCATTTTGGATTTTAATGTAAAGGGTAATTGAAATTATTATATATTTTACAATAATTTTTATACCATAGAATTTCTAATATGTACACATACATTCCAATATTGTTTAAGAAGATGCATTTTTTAGTAGACATTCTTCGCGTAGATATGAGCAAGGAAAAAGGATATTTATTGGCATATTTGGATGTAAGCATTATAATTACCAATCATTGAAAAGATATATTATTTTGCTTGTGAAAATAGACATATTTTATTAATTACTTCCAATGTTATTTATTATCAGGTATATACTTAAATAAATCTTCATGAAACACTGTAGTTATTGCACTTTTTATCTTATAACTAGTTTACACTTGTTTAATTAAAAACTTTAAAGTTTTACTGTACAATTGTTTAAGAAAATATTCTTTTGAATTATGATATAAAAAATGGGAATATGAAAACAAAAAAAAATATACTTTGTACAGTATACTATACAAACGTTAATGAAACGTAGTGAAAGGTTTTCTTACACGATACTTACAGTCTCATTTTAAAAGTAATTTTTCGATGGTCTCGAAATAAAGAATTTCCAGGAAGAAATAATAACAGAATTTGAGACATATTACTTACATTTTATAGTATTTTCTATGGTCATGACTTTAGTTCTCGCTGAAGCCATTTTATACATATCGCTTTAATGGCATTTTGACCAAGTCTATCAGATTCTTTCAAAATTTTTCTTATATCGTGTGCTCTTGAATACTTAACAGCCACCAAGTATGCAGCTTTTAATTGCTTGCAATCGATATACGCGTTTATCTGTAAGCAAAAAATTGAAGAGACGAACCGAACGAATAATAGGAAAATTATAAGGTATAGAATGCAATCTTACTTTCAGTTCTATGTCTGTTATTAATCTAATCAGATTGAGCACATCATTTTTTAAACTTGATTCCGGCTCGTCGTGCAATCGATTTAGTAATAATTTCACGCAATGCGTTAGAACATAATCTGAAATAATGTATGAATTTGGTATTCCAGAAGTGTGACAACATTTAATCAATTGCTCTATTCCAGGAATATTGTATCTCAGTGTCAAGATATGACCAGCTAAAGAATACACTTTCTGTTGTGGTAGATTATAATCTGAAATGACGTGTTATTAGTACGAATGAATGCAGTGTAGTGTATCAGAAGGTATTTATATTCTATATAATTGTTGAGAAACCTTGCATTATTCTGAATGCAATCCCAAATCCTTCTTCGATGTTGCGTCCACAGAGTATGGCTAGAACAGCCAGATCGATTTTCTGCTGTTGATTGCCGAATAATGTTGGTAATTCCGTAGTACATACATTGTCGGAATCTTTGCCCGGAAAGAAATTCAAAACTTCAACGGGAGCCCGTCCCTCTTTCTCACAAGTTGCCAAAAATTTGACAATTTCCATTTGTCTACTGATGGTGTTTATATGTTTGTCTATCTCCGAAGGTTCCATTTCCATTGTCAAGATTCCTTGATTGCTGTGCATGGAACTTGTGCTCTTCTTTCTTCTCCTATTTAAACTTTCGACCTGTAGCTCATATTCCAAGTGTTTCTGTGCTTCGAGCAAGAAATTCCCTCTGGTGTGCAAGTCTGAGTAATCATTGATCTCATTACGATAAAAACGGATGCATGTCATGGCCGCTCGGATCGAATCTTTCATGAACAGTTGCAACTGATATAAAATATTCAGGTAATGTCTCTTCTCCAGACTGTGACAGACGTATATTAAATATTTTTTCCAAATTAGCAAACTACAATCTTTGCTCTTCATTGCTTCGTGAAGCTTCTCGGTGTTGCCAGTCTTTAAACAGTACAAATAAATGACATTGTAGAATAAGTCGGGTTCTGGATCAGTTTCTAAAGTAAACGCGAGACATTCGTTAAATTCATCGTGTCTTAGAAAAAATTCTAAGATTGAATTGCAGCTGCCGCATATTAACAAGTAATACAGACTCTCGTAATAATAAACGTTTTGCATAGCTGAATGCGCGTTCTTAGCAAGACTTTGCCCTTGATTTGTCACTTTAAGGTACCTAAAATTATTTGATATTTCTTGCTGGGCACTAGACTTGTACTGACTATCCTCATACTGTACGTGTTGTTTGTATGTGCTCAAGTTATCTAATATTTGCAGGATTTCCGTAAGTAACGGTGGATCCTTTAATGGACGATTTTTCGAGATTTCTGTTTTTCTTACGCTCAACTCATCCTCCATTGTGAACTCTTTATTCTCGTCAATTGTGTTTTCAGTTACCGACTTTCGGATACCTCTTCTGTTTTCAGTCATCGAATCTTTTGGATATGACAGGATCACCCAATCATCAAAATCTTCGTGTTGAATTTTGTCGAGACAGTGGAGAAACTTTTCTCGAGCTTGATCAAAGTATCCTATTTTCAAACATGCTTTACCCCAGGTCGCCCAAACACCTTGAGTATCCAATCCTGCTTTGGTACTCACATCCAGAGCAAGGGTCCACTGTTCCTTCTCGATCAGCAGATCTCTCAACTTCCTCAAAGCATGTCCATCCAAATTATCAGACGGTATGAGATGCAAGCAATCAAATTGGACCAAACTAGCTATAAGGTCTACTTGCGACAGGAAACGGTCACAATGAACCAGTCCGGCATTAAGACCAAGCTTGGCACATTTAACCTTCGCAGCGACTAACAGAGATCGTATCATTTTAATAATTACAGTATGGTCCACTTCTGGATTTACTTTTTCTCCATTAACAGGTTGTAAAAGACATTTAAATTCGTCGCAACGGTCTAATAAAAAGCTGTAATTATAATTGTAGTATTACCGAGTATCATTAAATGACTATGTAGAAAATCTATAATAGATATAATTATTACCTGGTGTACGTTTCATGATCAGAATGTAAGTTAAGAATGGCCAGACACAGAGAAATGTTCGGTGCATACTCAAATGAAAATTCTTCTCTAATTGTTTCATTATGCTTTTCGTCTCTCGTTAATCTCCAATAATCAAACATTTCACTGCTGGGCGTAGATGATCTTCCTTGGTGCGATTGCGTTTGTAGTACAGTCTGTTGCTTACAATCGTCGCATACACGCACCAATACAGATGGTGGATAACCAGATACCTGCATGCGATGCTGCGAACACTGGGCACAAATCACACGACCACATCTGCGACAATGATGTCGCCTGTTGAACATGGAAAATATGACAGTCTTGCAACAACTACATTTTCTAGCCTGTTGAAGGAAAAAGTAAAGAATTGTTTACAAAGCAACCCTAAAAAAGCATATTAGCTATATACAAAAGTAATACCACTAAGAACTTCATTTCTGCCAAAAAAATGACAAAAAGCTTTCAAAAATGAGGTTAAACTATTTCAAGTTTACTGTTACAACAGAGACTGTAGCAATTATGGTTTTCGAGATGGGAAAACATCCATTATGGTTGCATACAGCTGGTTATACAGATAGTAGCCATATATGTATGTATACCTTTTCATTTGGTACCCATTCTTCTTTAGTAGGAACTAGCACGGGCATAATGAATTCAGTACTTTCCGATTCCGAATGTTGTACAGTTTTAGATTTGCTCTCAGTATTATCACATTGTAGAGACACGCGACAATCCAACGACTTTTTGGCATAAAATCTGACAATCTTATCGAAGCCGTCCCTTGAAATATCCACTTTCGACAATCTGTCCTCAAGTGTATTCAATATCTTCTGAATACATTCAAGTTTACAATTCATTAGCAATTGCTCTAACATTAACAGTGGTTCTTTTATTAAATGAATGTATAATAGTCGTTCTTGAGTGTCCAGCATACGTAAAATTTCAATTCCTATCAAGGTTCTCCTATATATTATTGCTGCAGTTGCTTTACAATTTTCTAATAAATAAGTGCAAATAAATTGTAACGAATCGATAGATTCTAGTTTCTTTAATGCGACCGTGCACAATTTGACCGATTGATTCAACGACAATGCTTGAAGAAACTGAGAAACGAAAGTGCATTAATATAATTAATCGGATGATACATATAGGTATAACTGGGAATGTAATTGTTCAATTTTACCTTCAATGTTTGTTTGAAGTTTTGAGATTCGCTTTTTAAGAGGCCTATCAGAAAGTCTTGTGTTTTGGAAGGATGTATTTCTAAAGAGAATGCTTGACTCTCCAGCCACTCCAAGCACAATTCAAATTTGTCTGCATTTATTAATGATTTGATAACTTGAAATGGATCGATCTTGTCTGTACAATAAGCAATGTCATACCAAGTACCGTTCCCTTTGGTTATACAATATGGAAGCATTTGATGAAAAATTAGTACTCTACGCAGAATTTCATTTAACTCTAATTTACAGTGCATTGGCAACTTGTAACTATCTACATGATGCAATGCATGAAGTAAAGCATTTTCACAAACGCTTACATCCCATTTATCCATATTATGTAAGACTGTCTGACTTAATATATGCATATCTTTAATTTGATATATATACTGCAATATTTTGGTAGCCTCGTTCGAAACAATGTAACTGAGAACTTTATCCTTAAAATATTGCAATTTCGTACTCGTAACCAAATTATCCGGTAAAGCGTTTATAAGTCTCAAACAAGTATGCCATTCGTTTTGTTCTAATGCAATTTCAAAATGTCGCCATAATTTCTGTATGGGTATCGTTTCAACAATAACCGCTAGAGTTTGATTATTCTCAACGAGGGATTTCATTTCGTCTACCCAGGATGAGCTCAAGAGATTTTCAAGGCAAGCAGTGCGTTTCAAGTTATCACAGCTGTTTTCTAAAATAGTTGGATGTTCATTATGTATTCTTTGTAAAAGATAAGAAACGACCCAACAATGATTCTCCAAATATTGTAGTAAACTTGGTCGTATAGTATGAGCTTTCCATACATCCTCGTTCGAATGTGTCTGTTTCTGATGATGCATAGTAAAATAATCTGTGTATTTCAATATCACACCATCCGAATATGAAGGCAGCATGTATTGTATCGTCACATTTTTGTTAGAAGACTTGTAATAGTCATCCACTGACAACATATTCTCGCTGCTATTAGTTTCACATATATTACTTTTGTTCTCAGAAACAAGATTTTGATAACGTTTCACAACATCTGGCAACAAGACTGTTGTTATTTCCTCTTCCGTATTTCCTTCAGGCTTCTCGGGAATCGGTGAATAATAATCAAAATATTCCCGGATAGCCTTGCTTAGAGTTTCATTTAACGTTTCTGGATTACAGGCCTACGGATGTAAACGTATCAATGAATTCTTTTATAATATACCTACATATAGTGGAAAATTGAAAACAAACTTACTCGGATACAAGGCGTTCCATAAAATTCATTAGCCATCATAAAGATCACTCTTGGATCGTGAGTAATGTCTAGATCTTGCCACACTGGTTCATTAAGTTCTTCGAGTTCCATGAAGAACTTATTATCTAGCATTATGTTATCGAGCAATTTTGATCTGAGCGCGGTAAATGTTACTAAACCCAAATCACCAATAAAGTAACCAATCGACATCAATGAAATCGCGTGTTGCAAATTACTAAACGGCGTACGATCTACCCACACAGTCAGGCAAGCATGAAGAAACATAAGATTCCATGTATTCAAAAGAAACGCCAATGTTTCATCACCCGTGGACAATTCACTCAAATCCAGTTTCACAAGACTGGATGTTTTATTCAATGCATCTCGAATATCAGGATGCTTCGAAATAGATTCACAAATGTCGTGTCTTAAAGAAAACTGATGCACATTCATATTTTGCAAGATCTGCAAAATTTCTGTTAATATTTCTGAAACACATTGATTTGGTCCTTGTATTTTATTATGTAAATCCTAAAATCACAACAGAGACTATTTTATTTCTTTTTATATACTTAGTTTCTTCGCAAAATTATAGAATTACCTACAATGATTGATACATACCAATTTGCACGATGCTTTGTTTAAAACGATGCATCCATTTTCCTTATTCCTGGCAGAATATTTTATACTATCCTCACGTATAAGTCTCGGACAAGCATTTGTAAGAATGCTGTATACTAAATTAACTTGCAAATTGTGTGCAATTGTTTCAAGCTTATTTGGCTCAATTTCAAGTTCAAATATTTGATGACCAAAGTAATAATGTAATGGAATTTTTAGCAAGTCAGAAACTGTAAGTGTCGGATGATCCTTTGGAATAATTTTATGCAGAAGTTGTAAATGGGAACAAATAGCTTGTATATATTTTCCTGTTGCGCTGGAAATAGTCGGCATCTTGCTAAGTATTTTTAAACCTGCCAAATAATTGCTGTCTCTCAGAATTTTATTGATTCTATCTTCATTTGTTTGTGATTCTTTGAATTCATGATACTTGATCGCAATATCAGTCCAAAAGTCTTCCTTCTCTTTGTACTCCCTTATTGTCAATGAAATTCTTGCATCACAGAGTATATTTTCTATAGAGAATTCGTCTTTCTTTTCATGTAACAATTGATAAATTCTAGAAAAGAAATGTGAATATTCGGTATTGTCAAATGTTTTACATAATTTCAAATACTTGATTGCGACGTCGCAAAGATTAATTGACACCGAGTGAATTTGACTCATAGTTAAAGCTATATCTAGCACACATATTGTTAACATTTCGTTGCTGCTGAGAATATCCACGTTTAGCATTTGTAAATTGATTTCTTGAGATGCCAAAAATGTTTCGAGTTGGCTAGTTTGTCTGGACGAATGTATACCCTCTTTTGCAGCTAATCTTACGTTCTGTAAAAAAAAAAAATAATTTCCTTGTAATTGAAATAAGTTAATTCTTAGAGCGTACCTCTAATGCGGAAAACTGTAAGTTTTCTTTAGATCGATTTCTATCCTTCAGTGTGTTTGTTTCTTTGTATATATTCTCTCTGAACACGTATAATGCTTTTGAAAATTCCAGTTCACCATTTAATTCGGTATTTTCCATATCAGATGCCTACAATACAAGGAGTAACATTAAATACCATCAAATATGTTACTTACAAGAATCATAATTACATTACTATATTTCAAAATTTCTGTTAATTCGTTATCATTGTATAATGTTGAGTATCAATAAATAATATCGCCCCGTTGACTATTATTAGATATAACATTGCTATTCTACCGTCCTGTTTCCTATAGATTAATTCCCAAGATAACAAGGTGTTTGAGATTGCATCTGACACAAAAGATTACAATGAGCAAAATGAAAATGAAATGATTCAACCAGCAGATCTTGCAGCTCTGGAACTTTACATAGAAGACGAGAGTAGATACAAACCGCTGCATTCTTTAATAGAAAATCAGAATAAACGCGACAGTGTAAATAAAGTACAGCTCGCTAACATGCTAAACCAACTTGAACCAATCGTATGGGAACATCCTAATACAGAAAGAAACGATGAACCATTTATTGCTGGTTTCAAAGAAGACTTAGACAAAGTGTTTAATAATTAATTAGTGAAAAGATATAAAATAATTAAAATGTTACTTTAATCGATACGTACTTTTAGATCGCAAAAGAAAAACAATTCTTACAAGGAAATAATTAGAGCGAAGCGTGAGAACGAGCAATACCTCTATCAAACTGAACCTGACGAAAAGAACGACTTTTTCCAAATGAAACATATTGATCTTTCATTATTGGAAACAACGAGAAATATTCCTAATGTTGATAACTATGAAAACGAAGTACAGGTCACACCTAAAAAATCTACTCCTTTTAACGTGAAAGGTGTTACGGTACATGTTGAAGAAACAGAATCAGACGAAGAAGAATATGAGTACGAAAATTTTAAAAGAGAATATGCAGAGGCAATCCGGAGTGACGATTCTGTTAGGAAGCCATTAAATTATACGAATGAAACGCAATTGGAGAAATACCCTCAAGAAACATTAGAAACATTGCTAAATTTCAAAAATTGTACAGAGACATCGAAAAAGTCAGGTATCAAAGCGATAGATTGTTTAATATACAACTACGAACATGAAACACCTGCGGTAAAGAAGTCTGTGCAGAGAATATGGTTAATCGTCAGAGTTTGGTTCCTAATTTATGTATGTCTTGCAATTCCTTGTTGGTGTCAAAGAGGTAATATACAATATTATCGTTTGTATAGTAACAGTAATTTTAAAAAATAATGTATCATTCTGCAGGTTGGTGTTGTTGTTGTTTTCGTTGTAAGTTTTGCTTCCCCGATAAAAGAGTTCTACTTGCAAAACAGTATTATGTAATTAATCCTCCTGGTACTCTAGCCAAGAAAATTAAAAAGAAAGAGGAGACACAACAGTTTATCACGTATGAACCTACAGAATTCGAAGAAGATGCATTTGAACAATTTGAAGCTGCAATTAGAAACATATAAATACGTATTTTTATTAATAATATTACCTCTATGATATCCTGTGCTTTTGCATAATCATTTTTCCATAAACATTGAATAACTAGGCTTTCTTTAGTTGCCAACATAAAATTCACGAACAATGGTTTATGTGCTACATCTTTGGTTGCTGTAGCGTCTATTGTTATTGTTACATTCTTAGAATGTTTTCGATATTTGGCATTATTATGTATCAGTTCTGAATCCGAGTTACTATTCGATTTTGTTTTTGTATCGTCCGATGTGCTATCTTGTTGATAAAAAAATATTTTCTCTTTAATACGATTTGAAATTAATTTTCCATCTAACAGAGCTTTCGGTTTAGAAAGAAGATTCTTATTCGCATCTTTATACACATTAATGTCTTCTGTAAACTGTGAACTCGTATAAAGTTCTAATCTCCACTTGGCATCCATTACTGCCGCATTAATGGAACAAATGTCTTTTTGAATTTGATTTGTATCTTCTGTACATTCATCTTTATCTATCATTTCTCTAAATTCATTTTCGGTAGCCAACACGATTTCTTTCAAATAAAGTAATATATCTCTTATGGCGTATTTGTTGCAAACAAATCCTGTTGAAGTCTGACTCATCCACTTGTTCTCAAAATTTCTTTGTCCATCTGAGGTAGATACATTACTTTTATCGTAAGATTTTTGCGAGCAGTTGAAGTCGTCGTGTCTCAAAAAAAGGAACGAAAATATATTCTTGATTACTTCTATTCGTAGACTAAGCGGATACAAAGTGTTTACATAGCGTTTCATTTCAGTGATGTGACGTGTAATAATACTTTGTCTCGTGTCATAACTATCACATAATAAAATAGCTTTCAGAGCACTAAACATACTACAGTATGCAGAAAAAATATTTTCAGGCTCAGAAACGTCTTTTAACAGATTTCTTATTTTACTATACTCCTCCTCGTGCAAATTTATTGTCATTTTTAATACCAAAAGGCTATTAAAATGCTGCAAGAGGGTGAATATTTGTTTTATAGAAATTCTCTGTTTAACTGGCTCTGGATTTTGAATGTCGTTATTCATCCCAAAGGTATCTTCCATCCAATTCATAACATATTCCACAATTTTCATATATTTCTTCAATGCAATGTTAAACTCTTGTAAAGTAGAATCACGAACTGTATCAAAATTACATTTTAATATTAAGAATTTAATCGAGTCACACGTGAACCTATCATGTTTTTCAACTGTACTAGAAAGAATTTCTTCCTTTATACAGTCATTTAAAACCTTAAATAATAAGGCTGGCCAAAAACTTTTCAATAATTTACAGCTTAGTATTGATGAAACATTATCATACTTTCCATTTGTCACTAAAATATAACAAATATCCTGCAAATAAAATATATATATTATTAAATTCAAATGCTTACTGTGCTTATTATTTTATTACCTACCAAAATATCTATTACCCAATGCAGGTTCGTGTTAATTACTCTTTCTATAAGATTTCTCTTAATCAAAATTAGTTCAGAGATAGAATCATGTGTAAATAATGAATCTTGTATTTTCACTGCATCATCCAAATTCTCAATAAGTTTGGAATATGCATAGACTTCATCGAGAAACGTGCACCATGCGTTAAAAGGTTTTCTCTCTATCCTTGAATATAATGCAAGTTCAATATCTTGGATGTTACATACTTTTAATAGCATAGGAAAACACGACTGTAACTGTTCAATCGTGTTCAATTCAATTATATTCATTCTTGACATAATACATAATACACCTCCAAGAGGATTGTCAATTAATTGTTCCTTGGATGATTTATATTGCAGTAATTCATTTATAAGTGACAAATAAAAGTCTTGCAAATTATGATACATCACTGGTGATGTATGAAAATACAAAGACAATAATTCATTAATTATCCAACATACGATAGTTGGATTAGCATAAACATTTTGCCTTAAAAATGTAAAACATTCTTCTTGTAATTCTTTCTGTATTTCTGAGTCTGTTTGTTCTGAATTAGTTTCATATGTCATTAGTAATCTCTAAAAAGAATATGTATTATAAATATAACAAAAGTCTTATTTCTAATTAATATAAATTAATTGAATATTACTTGTTGTATATCCATTGTCAAATTTTTACACAATTGCAAAGCCTGTATCATTTGCAAATATCTATGATGATTCTTTATATTTTTAATGTCTGAAGCTACATTGCCAATAAGTTTTTGCAATAATGTTTGAATGATCCATTGATGCTGACTTGAACATTGAGAACGGCTAAAAAAGTTTAATTAATAAGGATAAAGTTTATTTTTTTAGTTTTAACTTGGGTCAGATTTTTATATGATATTACAAAATCGTGTGTATATAACAGTTTATTTGGATTGTATTATACTTACATTACGCTTTCGATTAAAGAGTCAGATTCAACATAGTCTACAGTATCACTCTGACAAGAAAGAGATTTATCATTAGCATTTTCTTGGTAAACAACGAGAGATGTATACCACAACTTTGATAAAATATATTTGTTGATTTGCAACGACTTCACGAATTCGGACATTTTAAGCTTTTAAAGAATTAACTGACATAGCACAACGTAAACAATGCACAAATTCTGTCAATCACACATCACATCGTAGTAAGTAGGTAGATATGTACATAATAACATTGAGAACGTTCACAGGGAATTCTTAACCAGTATGAATAATAAAGGCACTATTTGCTTTCATGTTCTTCTATTTTTTTCTTTAGAATCAAGTTTCCAAAAATAACAATTAATAGTCGGTTATCACATCGAATAAATGTGGGTTACTTTTGTTTAAATGGTTCAGGTTGCGCATTTCTAAATATATGTACATCAAAGTGTGTTCTCATAGCCACGATTCTCGCCATACGGCTAAGCCGGACGACATTTTCACTAAAAAGTGGACCCACCTTAATGTCCTTTGTACAGTGATGTGTCGCGCCTGGTCGCGCCAAAGCCGACTCTAAGAGTCGGCTGCAGTCGGCTGTGGTTGCGCGTAATTTAAAAATGTTAAAACATAAATAAATTACCAAATGTTCGAAAAATTTCAAATATATATAAGACGAAAAGTTCAAACTCGAAAAAGGTTGCAAGTTCCAGTTAAGATTAGAATATTTAAGGAATGATTATGTTTTAACGTATATCTATATTAAACCTTGCCAGTTCTTGTTAATGTTCTAACTCTCACGGAAGTTTAAAATGTTTGAAATGTTCTTTAAAATTCTGCTTATTACATAATAAAAACAATATATATATATATATATATATATAGAGAGAGAGAGAGAGAGAGAGAAAGAAAGAGAGAGTGGTAATAAAACGTTACAAATGCATAGATATTAAATAGATATATTTAAAAAATCATGAATTTCTAGTACTTCGCAGTAGAAACAAAGCAGGTGCTACATACACATTCATGCATTCATGCAATGCATGCAAACATGGTATGCAACGAACGCCATATGTATAAGCAGTGAAGTGCATAGGTATGTACTGATAGTGATAGGTACCATAGGTACACATAAGGTACAAGGCTTGTACTACAAGCGGACCGCTTGAAGCGGTACGAGCGTAAACAGTGGTAAGCAGCAGTAAACAGAAACAGGAGTGAGATACTGTTTGTCAGTGTCACGTTAATAGACCGTTCATGAAATCTTATTCTATGAGCCAAACAAATATTATATTCCCGTAATTTATTTTATTTCACGGTCCATGAAGTCTTTTCATAAAAAAAACTAATAATATGTAACTTATAAACGTGATACACAAGCTAGGTTAAGATTTAATTCTCCTATTATGAAAATTATATTCTATAGTGAGCCTCTTAATTTGTACAGTCGTTTTAACTACTAGACTTGAACTAATAAATGTGTAACAATGAAGACTAGAAAAATATTTGCAATACTTGGAGCGGGCTTAATATTGGCCTGCTGTGTTATGATGTATTTAATGATGGATCTAGCACTATTTCCACCTGGACAAGGAGCCAAACTTTCTGTCAATGATGTAAGTATATGCTGTGATAACCATAATACAGTATGTATATATATGTATAATTTGTATTAACCATAAATATAATTTCACTTTACATACTTTTAGAATCAGTGGTTACATTTTGAAAACAGACTTGCTAAGCTAGAAAAAGACTTCAATAAACATCATGAGGTCATGAATGCTTTGAGAGAAGTTGCAGAAGCCAAAAACTTTGTCCCTGTGGTTCATTCCATAAATCGTCATAATCAATCTGTATCCTCCAGTTCTTTACACTCAGGAAAAGTACTTACGTGTAACTTCACCATAGAAAAAGTACCAGAAGTAGACATACAAATGTTAGAAATGTATAGGCAATTAGAGTTTAATAATATAGACGGAGGAGTCTGGAAGCAAGGATGGGATATTACATACGATGATAAGCAATGGCATCCAAACAGAAAGCTAAAAGTTTTTGTAGTCCCACATTCGCATAACGATCCTGGATGGCTCAGCACTTTTGAGAAATATTATGCGTTTCAAACTAGAAGTATTTTGAATAATATGGTACCGAAATTGGTGGAGGATAGTAGACGTAAATTCATTTGGGCAGAAATATCGTTTTTCCAACTGTGGTGGGAAGATCAGTCGGAAACAACGCGTACGTTGGTCCGACGTTTAATTCACGATGGCCAGTTAGAAATTGTATCGGGAGGATGGGTCATGCCAGATGAATCTGTGTCCCATTGGATGGCTCAGCTTACACAACTAACCGAAGGTCATCAGTGGTTAAAATACAACTTAGATTATACACCAAACTCGGGCTGGGCCATCGATCCGTTCGGTCTTTCGCCGACTATGCCGTATCTTTTGAAAAATGCTGGACTACAAAATGTATTGATACAGAGGGTGCATTACTCGGTTAAAAAACGATTAGCCAAGGAGAAACATTTGGAATTCCGCTGGAGACAGTTATGGGACAATGATGGATCAACGGAAATCTTTACACACGTTATGCCATTTTATAGTTACGATGTACCGCATACTTGCGGCCCGGATCCAAAAGTATGCTGTCAATTTGACTTCTTTCGGCTTCAAAGCTCTGGACTGACTTGTCCGTGGAAAGTAGCTCCACGTGCTATAACTGACGGGAACGTTGCAGAAAGAGCTGCCCTTTTGCTGGATCAATACCGAAAGAAAGCTCAACTGTTTAAGACTGACGTGGTATTAGCACCGTTAGGGGATGATTTTAGATATACTTATTTTGCCGAGTGGGATGCTCAGTATACCAACTATCGCAAACTTTTCGATTATATGAACCGGAACAAACAAATGAATGTACAAATTCAATTTGGAACGTTAACCGATTACTTTGATGCAGTTAGAGAGAAGCATAATTTGAACGAGTTTCCAACTTTGTCAGGAGACTTTTTCACCTATTCCGATAGGGATGATCACTATTGGAGTGGATATTACACATCTAGGTAGACTTGAAAATTGTATTTACCACGGAAGATTATCGTTATGCGTTAATTAAATAAATTTCAGGCCTTTTCACAAACGATTAGATCGAGTACTATTAAGCTTGTTAAAGCAAGAATGTGGCACTCTTTGTTTCAACATCACGATGGTATCACTGGAACTGCTAAGGATGAAGTGGTCGTGGATTACGCAAAGAAGATGATAATAGCTTTAAACAATTCTGCTCATGTGCTTCAGCAATCTGTGGTGCATCTATTGAAAACTTCTCAGAAAACAATAGATGTGGATGCTGTATATATAACACTCGATGAATCTAGGTCTGAAAGGAACTTTAAAATGCTTTCAACAAAATTGAAACTATTATTCAATGTGTGAAAAAATATATCGTTATTTATTATTATTAGGTTGCGTCATACCAGCGCCGGAGACAAACATGTACTTACATTGAGAGATGAATATCCTCAGAAGAAAGTCATTCTGTATAATTCTATTCCAAGGCAGAGGACAAAAGTACAAACGTTAATTGTCTCGACACCGTATGTTAAAGTTACCGATCGCATGGGTCAACCTATTCAATGCCAGATCTCTCCAATTTGGATCGGTCCTGCTGCGTTAACTGCTGCTAGATACGAGTTATCCTTCTTAATAACTGTACCTGGATTTGGCATTACTACCTATATAATTCACACGCTACCAAAGACATCGTTTCCATCGTGCGTTATTTTCTTTTATCAAATACATTCTTTTATTCCAATCGTTTAACCGGTTCTTCTTCACTGTACACAGGGAAGTGCACCTCGCCAACGTAACTGTTTATAATACGGATATCAATCTTCTGAAAATACCAGCTTTCGATCAAATTCAAGTAGTACCGAATGCCCAAGAATTCTCGATTACTCAACGACCAGATTTATCGGCATCTTTCGGGAAATCTGGCCTTTTGAAAGCTTTGAGGGTCGGCAATACAACGTTCCCCGCTCATTTAGAGTTCGTCAAGTACGGTACTAGAAAGGGTTCCGGTAAAGATAAAAGCGGAGCTTATTTATTTTTACCTGAAAAGCCAGAACCAGACTTGGTATTCATGGACAACAAGTGTATCGTACACTTAATAACCGGACCCATCGTCTCGAAAGTATTTGTTGAATTAGCCCACGTACGTCACACTTGTATATTGTACAATTCTCCTGGTTGCGATGGGCTTGGACTACACATATTCAACGAGGTTGATATATCGGAGACACAAAATTACGAGTTAGCTATGAGATTGAGTACAGATATAACTTCGGGTGATCAATTCTTCACAGATTTAAATGGACTCAATGTAAGTATTTAACACATCATAATTTTACCAAATTGAACAACCGATAAAAGCATGTAAATTAATTATCTTAGATGATAAAGCGCCAAAGATTTCCGAAGCTTCCTACTCAAGGAAATTATTATCCAATGGCATCCAGTGCATATATAGAGGATAAAAGAGTTCGATTAACAGTGGTAACAGCACAACCATTAGGTGTAAGTTCCATGGCATCGGGACAAATTGAAGTATGTATCTAGTATTTACTTTCAGTTAAGCGGATAGGATGTGCCTTGTGATACCTGGAATATTTACACATAGATTATGCAAGACCGAAGATTACAACAAGATGATAACAGGGGATTGGGTCAGGGTGTGACTGACAATCTATTAACAAATCATTGGTTTATGTTTGTCCTTGAAAAAAGAAGATCACCCTGTCCATCTCCATCACCGTCAACTAATCATCCAGCAGGATTACTATCGCTGTACGGTCATCTAGCTTCAGAAGAGCTGTTACATCCGATCATCGCGATGCATCGTCCTAACGTTTTACCTTTTGACTTGAACGCGTACTTCTCACCGCTTCGTCACGATCTTCCTGTAGATTTAAGTGTCGTTAGTTTTAGAGTGTTCCCTATACCGGATGGAGCCGGTAAAGGGATTGGAATGGTTCTACACAAAGCCGCGTTAGATATGTGCTGGAACGACAACTCATATCAACGCTACTTCAACGTCTCTGAATCTGGAGAAATTGATTTAACGAAGTTCTTCAATTATATAGACGACTGGATCATTAGCAAAGCTCCTCTTACATTCCATAACGTAGGACCATCATTGAAATCTCCAATCGTTAATTTATGCCCGCACCAAATATTATCGATTTTGTTTCACAAAACACAATCGTAAGTTAAAGGACAACTTAGACCTTTATTTTTATATAGTTCAGTACAAACATTATTTCTTTTCCTTGCTCACCGATCCACTATCAACGGCCTTACTCACGATAACGTAATGCGACAGATCCGATACCGGTGGACTGATTTTATCCAGCTTATAACTGCAACAGTATTAAGTGAAATAATATTATCTACGACACGAACAAATCTAAACGTATTTACTTCGACATAATTAAATATATGCTATATGCTTTGTACAGTGGATTTACTATAGTCAACAATTTTTACTGCCTAACGTTTTAATGATATTTATCGAATTAAATCTAAATAAGTGAGCCGAATAATGAAATTATAAATTTGCTATAGTAACACCATGCCATTTCTGTGTACATTTAATAGTGATCATTTAATTACAATTTCCTGAATAAATATATAACTCATAATATACAAACTTCATAATTGGCTAAAGAGAACTTTATCGATATATTTTCTCCTCTTACTTTCATTTATTTATATATTATTCAGTATTTATATCATAAAAATATGACAACAATAAAACAAAAGATATTTTTTGTTGCAAGAGATATGTAGTTGGGATCAATGGCATGGTGACTGACATTAGATATATATGTACAATGATTCCTCGATGAATGCGACAGCATTGTTCCCACCACTGGGACAATCCCCCTGTGGAACCAATCAAAACAGAGTAAACAGAAGCTAAGCAGAGGCTCGGTTTCGGGCAGAAATGAAATTTATGAGGAGTTGAAACTTATTTCACCTTGCAACGAGTGTGCTCCGAAATGAACCCGAGTACGTAGCACTCATCGAGACATTAGTGTAACTGTAAGAATACACTTTCATACTAGTCGTACTAATACTTTTGAAATTATAACTTTTTACGTTTGTTGTGTACATATATTGTATTAAAAAAAAACATTAAAAATCTTGTGATAAAAGTGGAATTATGCGAACAATATTCTTACCACATTTATTAAAGTGTTATATACTGATAAAGAAATGATAATTACCCAAGGGAATAAAAAAACTGCATAGCCGACGGATTATGCTTAAACACAGTTAGCATTACTTTTTGCATCTTGTTCTGTAATGCCATAAACTCAAGAACTGACATCATAAATTGGCCAAGTCCTTTCCGCCTTACTATTGGTTCCAACTGTATTTCATAGCTGGATATAAAGAAGAAAAAGATGTACTGGTTTATTTGTTACAGTTTTATACAAAAGATGTATATTAAAATCAACCTACCAATATAACACTTCTTCCCTATGTTCTATGTCAAATCGAAAGTGAGAAAATCCAAGAAACTTGTTGTTCGAGGAAGCTACTAAGTACCAGGCTGCTGGTTCTGTTAATTCTTGTTTCTTTGAAATTGGATCCCAACCCCAGTCGCATTGCTCATACATGGTTTTCATATTACGCTCCAAGATATTAAATATCCAAGATAAGCATTCAGGTGTTGCATCTCCTGACCTCATACAGGAAAGTTGAACGATCTGATTGTCTTTTGTCACATATTTGTGAAAAGATGTTAAAGATTCTAAAGGATTTATTGTAGCATTTGCTTTTTCGACTAATTGTCTGGCTGTGGCTTCTTTTTCTGCTAAAAGCTGACGTCTTGTTTTTCTTTTCTGTGCAAAAGTATTAGATACTTAGAAAACTATTAACAGTAACACTTGTATCAAAACTGTGACCTATCTGGTATGGATAACACCAGATAATATTCATTACTAATTAAATAAAGTATGGATGTTTTTGTAAATACATATTTTTATAAATTAATTGACAGAGACTGGAATTAAAGAGAGATTTATTTATTGTATTAAGGGTTCCACTAGATTTTAAACCAAATGGAAATCACATTAAACTGTATTATACGCCCTACTAAATATACTGACTATTAAATAATCATGGGTTCTATAAATGCATATAAATAAATCGCAATTTATACATTATAAGTTCACGAATTCATATTTATAGGTACTTTACATTGATATGCTAGAAGAATTACATTATTAACATATAAATAAATATAATACCTTCATCATAATTATATTTCCCGCTTATTTTGAAAGGATAAAATTTGTAGGCTATATCCTTTCTTGGAATCACCTTTAATAAACATCAAAATTATTAGTTTCTAATTCTAAATATTTCCTTTAAATGTTTTAAGTCTTCAACTTATGTTTATATACATATACATGTGTATTTATGTACAGTATACTGTAGATTGTAATTTTTAAATAAAATAAACACTTATATTCTCAATTATAAAGATGTAAATGTATAATCTTCAATCAATAATTATATACTCAGTTATAACGTGTATTACAAAAAACTTCCTTTTCATAAATGAATAAAAAAACGTTATTGTGTGCGATGAGCACTGTTTGCATTTCGCGATTCAATCGTACACATACATACATATCAATACATACACCTATGCACATACCTATATGATAAGCGCAGTGCACGTGCAACAGTGTAGTGTATATAATACATGTTTTCTGTGTTCATTGTTCATTTCTCTCTTCATCTCTCTTGTACTTTTAGACATTAATATGTGTGTACGGTAGTGTTTCGAATTATATAAAGCTAATAAATTTTTAAACAGAAAAGCTTCAATTTGTTCGATTATACGTTCACAGAAAATAGAACGTACAATCATTGCAATTGTTGCGACAACTTGGATGCTGACAAAATATATAATATCAACTGGTTGGCAACAGATGCATTTTGCACTTTATCGTTAGTGTCCCCTATACAATGTCTTTATTAAATACGATAGTTATTGCAGAGACTTATAAATGTTCATACGTTTCCTCCTTTTTTATAATGCATTCATTTCTTTTTATTGATATAGGTTAAGTAACATAGTCGCGTATTATATATTTACATATTTTTTATGTTTGTACTGTCATCTATTTATACATATATGTATAAACACATCAGTATGTAACATATGTTGGATAAGGAGAAATTAATTAGTGATTTAATTATGGTAAAACTTTGATAAGTACTTTTAAAATTACAATATATACTGTAATATTTCTATGCTTATATTTATATATTTAGGATATTTTTGTGTTTCTTCTTGTATAAAAAGTAGCAAATATAACAATTGCTATTTTTATCTTATTTCAGATATTGTAATTAAAGATTGAGGAATGGCTGAAAATGCTACTGCATCGAATACAGAGGAAAAAGCAGCTTCCTCAGCTATGACACAGTGTTATGAAAATTATATCATAGTTGATGTCGGTGCCAACCTCACGAATAAAAAATATTGCAGAGATTTAGATAGTGTAGTTCAGAGAGCAAAAGATGCCGGTGTACAGAAAATTATGGTAACAGGTGCAAGTATTCGGTCTAGTAAAGAAGCATTAAGATTAACTCGAATATATCCTGGTACCCTTTATTCTACTGCTGGTGTACATCCTCATGATGCAAAGTCATGGGAAAATCCAGACACTTCGCATGAACTCGAGAGTATAGCTAGAAATCCAGAATGTGTAGCAATAGGAGAATGTGGTTTAGATTACAGTCGTGACTTTTCTGATCCGGAAACACAACGTGCTGTGTTCCATAAACAAGTAAAACTTGCATGTCTATTAAACAAACCATTAATAATACATGAAAGAGGAGCTCAGGCAGATGTCTTAGAAGTTCTAAAGCATTATGAGAATTGTTTACCACCAATTTTAATTCATTCATTTATTGGAACTGCAGAAGAAGCACAATTGTATTTAAATAATGGTTTTTATTTAGGAATCACGGGATATTTGTGTAAAGATAAATCCGATAGTGGAATAAGGCAATTACTCGAAAGAGGACTCGCACCTCTAGATAGAATATTAGTAGAAACAGATGCTCCATTCATGTATCCTAATACTAGAGCCAGTAAGCTACCTGTACATGTTAAAGATGCTCTCACCGAACGATCTATGACGTTTCTTCATCGTTATTGTACTTTTCAACGTAATGAACCATGTGCCTTACCAGCAATAGTGGAAATGGTAGCAGCATTCATGCAAATCACACCAGAAGAAGTTGCCGTAGCTACTGCTTTCAATGCTTTAAAATTGTTTGGCTTAAACCAGTGATATTAAGAATTATTTTTTTTTTATTTGGAAACGGTGCTAGTTGGTGCTATTTAACATCTTTAATTATTCTGTTGAGAATACGTGGTCTCTTTTTATGTTTAAAATCATTGTTTGTGTGTCTATTCAAATGTACCTCTTTTACAATAACAATAACATACATCAATGCATAATATATATTTTGTTGAAATCATCAATCATGACAGAAGATTCTGACATAAACTTTTTACCTTATTTTTATGTTTATAGATATTGCCTTCTGTATATGTTAATCATATGTTTATACAACAATACTCTCACCTTCAGGCATTAAAATTAATATCATACGAAAAATTTCATTTATCATTATGGTATAATAAATATTTTGTAGAAATATGTATAAAATACATAATAGCCGAAATCATGACTTTATTGTTGATGTTATAAATATTTTCGTATAAATAAATTGTTACACTGATGTACAATTTATAAACATTTATTTTATACACAGAATCCCGATTTTTCATTGACCTAAAAAAAAACCAATTTCATCGGAAGTATCGGTAACATTTATTAGTTACTTTGATTTAAGTTACAATTTCTATCTTTAAAAAGTGTTCAAGGTAGGCCACGATAATTTGAAACAATTCTGTTAGATACATTTACCAGTATTATAAGTAGTAAATGAGAATAAGATATTCTGTAAAATTTTTCTTTATTCATATAAATTTTCCACATGTTTATAAATTATTATTTTATTTATGATAGAGAGATTTTAATTTTATAAGATCTGCAACATGCAATTTCTGTTTGTCTATGGACATTGTGTTCAATTTATCTACATTTATACAGATAACGTTGCATTTTATTAATGTTTCTAATGAGTTGACAAGTATCTGCAATGTACTTGATGGTATTTCTAAATTCCTAGAATATGATGTTTTTGTAGTAAGTAGAAAAAGTATCCTGTAAAGAGTACATAAAATTTATACGTATTACAGACCGTGTGTATAAAAGTTTTATTAACACGTGTAAAGCTTCTCACTTATGAAAGTCTGGTGGAGACACTAAATCTTCAATATACGTAATATCATCCTGATAGTCATTAATAGCCATAGGAGAACCATCTGGCTGTATTACAACAATGGCTTCTGAAATAATAAAATTATAAAATCTATTAATATAGTTAATTGTGCTGAATCATTTTGTATGAAAGATAGTCATTCAGTTCGTACCAACATGATGTCCAAGTTTCGATCTCAAATTACTTTTCACGTATCTATTACCTCCTAGTATTTCTTCTAAGTGATCAGCTAACGAAAATGAGACTATTTTTCGGTCCGTCTGACTTAACAGAGCGTCAATTATATTTTTACTCAATGTGATCCCATCATAGCAGGGATAAAGGCTTTTAACACACTGATGTAACTGTAAAATGTTGTTCAATGTCCTTACATCTTTCACATGACTGTGGTTACAATAATACAACGTAAATATATTTTCAAGTAGTTGCTCATCATAGCAACCCAGTGAAAGTAAATAAAAAGTGACCTTTGCCACATAACCGATTGGCAGATTCTGATTGAGAAAGGAATTTACTATAATTGATTGTACTGTAAACCAGTGTTGTGGTTTGTAATTAGCGATGCCCAGAGCTCTTATAAAGTGAAATATTGTTTGGTGTGAGCAAGTTTTTAATATATTCGAATCTTCTGTACACTTCTCTGTCAAAAAATCTAATAACGGTATATTACTAAATCCTATTTTGTTTAAACGCTTCAAGATTTTGATACCATCAGAAACATTTACATTTTTATCGATACAATCTTGGCATAATAAATTTATCAGTTGTTTATTGTAAAACTCTTTAAGCCCCCTGGGAAGAAAAAAAGAAATACAGCGATGTACACTATAAATCTGTAAATGGGTAACACGTAACATATAATGCAAATGATTGAATACTTACTTTTCAGAAATTTTCATGGTGATTATAGCCAATAAAAAACTTATTGCATTAAATTTTAACATGCTATGATTGTTCATTATTTCATTCATCACTTGATCTAGAAGCCTTCTATAAGAATTTGTTAGTTCAGGTATAAGGAACAATGCATACAAAACAGAGATGGAATCATTTAAATTTAGGCTCTCTTGGTTTCTAGACAAAATATTAAGAGTATGTCTAATTGCTTGTATATTATTTGTATTACATGCAAATTTGAGAACCGATATTGTCCTATATATGTCATCTCTGTTGAGTTCAACATGTATTTGCATATGAGAAACTTTATGCAGGGCATATAGTAGAGCTTTTGCCAAAGGTGTTTCATTGTGGACTTTCAAAGTGTGATATAAATATAATATTTGAGATATTGTTAATGTGTTTATTAAAACTCTTGTCAGCTGAAGTAATGTCTGAACTACTGCAGTGTCACTTGGAACATTCATAGAAAATAGAACTTTTAAGGCATATATAATATCAAAGGTTTCTAAGTTCCTTGCATTTTGTTGTATTAATGTACACATTTCTACAAATTTCTTAGACGTCTTTATGTCCTCGTAACATAAATTTTTATTTGTTACTCCGTAGAATTCATTCAAATATTTTAATAGTTTAGTTATTCCAGCATAATGATTTGGCTGTAAATTACTTGTAACCATGTCTTTAGTATTATTGTCAGAACTAAAAGAATCAACATACTTCTTTAAATTTTCTTTCTGATATTTTATTTCCTTGCATGTTGGAATATCTGAAAAGAAAAAACATTTCAGAAATTATTATGTAGAAGTCTTATTAAATCATACTTAATTATTACCTTCTAGAAGATTTGCAGTGTTTTGTGATGTACAATATTTTACTGCACAGCTTGATAGACATACCCATTTATGCAACATTATTGAATTACTTATCAAACGTATAACAGCCTTTTCCATCATATGTGTTTATAGCAATTTTATAAAGTTATTTCAATACCTAGTGTAAGATGTTAATATATAATTTATTACATCGTAAAATTACATTCATCATATCTCGTACACATAATCATGTCAATAAAAACACGTGTAAGGTTAGGTGCCTCAATTATTAATATTGTTTCTTCAACCGAAAAGTACTAATCTTCTCATACTTGACATTAACTTAATGAACTAGTTTCTTTAGTTACGTATTTTATTAATAATATAAACACAATAGTGATATTATCTTATTTTTATGTAATGTACCCTGACGAGCAAACACCATGACACCAGCATATGCTAGCAAACACCTTCCGCTAGGGGAAAAAATTACGTTGGGGAAAGTCCTCCTACCACTTGGTAAGTTTATTTCAAGGATTGAAATAAATGATAAATCGAATGTTAATTTGGCATAAATTTCAGTAATTCTCAATACCAAGTGGTATGAGCTTGGTAAGTATGTAGCTTGGAGAGAGGCGTCCTGGAACCCCCGGAGCATGCGCAAGAGACCCCGCGGGTATAAAAAAGAGGGGTCATAGAACCCCTGGATCATGCACAGTAGACCCTGCGTGGGTGAGAAACTGAGGTCATAGAACCCCCGAAGCATACGTAAGAGACCCCGTGTGTATAATTTGAATTGAGTAGATACATTATATCTAGTGTTGACAGAAATAATTCTTCCAATTATGGGGTTCTCGGTATTGAGTCGATGCACGGGATCGTAAGGAGTAAGTTGAGACTAATTGCAGTCATTTTAAGCGTCTAATTATTGAGATATCCGCATTTTTTCGTCACTAAGAATTTTCACTCACCTGTCGGTATGATTTGGCTAGCCATTTGAGAGAATTGCCACGGGTGGCGCCACCGGTCAAAAATATAGTGGTATTCGACGATTAAATGCGATTTTAACAGTGTTCTGGATATTTATTTTTATTGAAAATGACAGGAGATTAATCTACGTTCTTTCAGCTATAAATTAAGCGCTTTATCTAGACGAAAGTTACCAGTACAACGGTGTAAGAGCTGTCCAAATGTGAACTAAACGAGAAGCGTATCACATGAAGCAGTGCTATCATTAGAGATGGCGTGAACTGCTACTTGTAAATCACTCGTGATTGGATCACGTTCGTTCCCAATCACGATGATTTTTCACAGTGATTCGTGATTTTTCGTGATCGTTTCTGATTGGTGGAGAAACGTAACAGTTCTTTATACGCGACACATAATCTGTATATTTTATATTAACGACATCAAAACAAAATTCGAGTTATATTTTGTAAAGTGAAGGAATAATTAGAAACAATGAAGAATAATGAATAAATTAATGATTATAAATTATAATCTACATGTTACCTAGCAAATCATTCTTTTAGAATTTCTTGTTTTTTGTACTGATTTTGACAAACACAAATAGTAATGTAATTCATCGTAAAATCATATTGAATAAGTTTTTTTATCTTGAGTGAATTTGCTCACTGCAATCGTAAGTCGTTAATCTTTAAACAGAAAAACGTATTCAATATGATTTTACGATGAATTACATTACTGTGTTTGTAAAAATCAGTAGAAAAAACAAGAAATTCTAAAAGAATGATTTGCTAGGTAACATGTAGATTATAATTTATAATCATTAATTTATTCATTATTCCTCATTGTTTCTAATTATTCTTTCACTTTATACGATATAACTCGAATTTTTGTTTTGATGTCGTTAATATAAAATATAAAATATACAGATTATGTGTCGCGTGTAAAGAACTGTTAGGTTTCTCCACCAATAAGAAACGATCACGGGAAATCACGAATCACTGTGAAAAATCATCGTGATTGGGAACGAACGTGATCGAATCACGAGTGATTCACAAGTAGCAGTTCACGCCATCTCTAATATGTATACAATTTTGGAACACCTGTGACAAACATCGATATTGGTAACAGCAATCGATATTTTGCTAGTTCGATAAGGAAATATACCGAGAATGATTGTTTCTCTCCGATCTTTACGAAGTTAACATATCAAACATGGCCACTGGAATACAAAACATGACTCGATAAAAATGAAGAGAATATACGCAAGTTGTTGCTGACTCGCACTGACTCGACACGTCTATGATTTCCCATTGTGTTGCTCGCTCTTTCGTGGGATACATCGGATAGATTCACTTAACCTGTACCACTCGATTGTGACAATATTACACTTCGAGTAATCATGGACGAGAATTGTGACACCAGTTTAAAGGACACAGAAACCATGGATATAACGAGCAGAGCTGTCAAGACTTATTATCAAAAGGAACTTATATACAACAAGTTGTTACCTTATGCGAACGATTTAGAATCGGAATCACAGGCTTTATTTGCCGAAATCAAAGCAAATTTAGGACGGGCTGTTATGTTGCGTGAAATGCAACCTGGTTGTGTTCTTGGGCTCACTAGGTTATGCGAGTAAGTTCATATTCCATAAACCATTTACTTAGATACATTTAAAACAAAAAAAATCGAACGCGTCATTCATATGTATATAGAATCATTATTATACTACGGATGTTTGGGCAAGTATCGATTGTTATGAAGTAATGTACTACATAGAAGAACTGGAATGAAATAGAATTTGCTTAATCTACTAAGAAATCCTATGAGGTTTCAAATGAAATAGAAACTTTAATAAATTTTCTAATGTATCGTGTTTTAAACAAATATGTGTGCTATAAAGACACGATGTCCATAGTCTAAATCATTACTATTTAGATTTATATTAATAGGTATGGTAAATTCCTATTTCAATAATAAATGTAAAATAAAGCATAAATGATCTTGTTTAGTTTCGTGAAAATTCAATAAGAAGATTAATATATAAAATATGTCTGTATCTGTTCTAGCTACTTAAAGATATATGGCTTGAAGTTCAGTAAAGAAGATCACATTTACTTAATAAAATTAATATACGAATTAGTTACAATTCCAGATCTAGACCCATTTTTAATCAGTGGATACAGTATGACATTACTTTTACTATTAAAGTAAGTATTGTTATATAGATTTTATCTGTTTTATAATGGTCTTAGTATTGATGGTCTAATGTTTATAATATTGTCATTCTAATGTTACTAGGAAGAAAGGATTAATATCTCCGGAAGAACTACAACTACCGTGGAAACCTATTTATAACTTAACCGACCATGTACAATCAAAGATAAAAACTTCCTTGGGCATGTATCGTTATTCTGCATTGTTAAGAGACACACTAAATCTGCTTGTACATGCGGTGAAAGTCTATTTTCCTGTAAGTGATTATTTTCTTTTCGAATAAATCTGTGGAAAGGATTGAGAATTAATCTATTATGATAGGTGAGTGCCACACAGGAGATATTAGATAAGTTGAGACCCACATTTTGCCCTCTTGATGGCACACTGATGTCTGTGAATATGGAAACATTAGAATGGTTCTTACCAGTACAATTACCTCCTAAATATCATTCGATTGGACACGAGTTATGGTTCGATGAATTTATGTCTTTATGGAATGTTTGTCATAACGCGCCAGAGTGGGAAAATCGCATGATGTACTTAATGGCGAGATTAGCTTCTCATAACATTGGATACATCGATTGGGAACCGCATATACCGTTAATGTTCACTAGATTTATGAAATGTTTGAGGCTACCAGTAACTTACAATCAAACGCAAAGACGTAAATATCATAAAATAGAGACATGTCCCATGTCCATATGGATAGCATCAGTTCTGGTAAAAGTTTATTACAAATGAAAGATCTATTTAAGTAGCCGGATATATTCCTATTAAATGTGATTTCATGTTTTTATTTAATAATTCCAGGGACACGGTTCAAGTGCGCAAATGTATCTTGAGAAATTCTTGAAAACTATAGAAACGTATTTTCATCCAGCCAATACGGGTTGGTGGCTAGACAAGTTGAAGGAACTTCTTATAAAACTTCCATATTATTTTATCACACGTTTACACAAGTAACTGCTATACCATTTTTTATTTTTTTGCGCGCGTTTCTATAATAATGTTCTACAAGTTTTAACGTTTTATTATCGTTCCAGGGAACGATACCCTAAGCCAACATGGGAAACACCTGTTCCAGATGAGTACAAATTAACCGATAGCGATGTCGATGCATTTGTCAAGAGCATGATTCCAATAACTATGACAGCTATGTTCAACAAGATAGGTGTCAACAATGCTGCTCTAGCATTGGAACATCTTTCTGCTATGAGACCTAGCTTAGTTATTCCAGACGTTTTGGAGAAAATATCTTCTACGCTGGACTCGTTTACAATAGAGTCATACAAACTGAATGCTGCAATGAGTTACATGGCAGCTATAGCAAGGCCAATGGCACAAGGATCTAGAAACGTTAATAAAGGTATGAATCAGGAAAATTAATAGCAATATATTAAAAATTCCGAGTCAATTTGTCTATTACATTTTTATTTTAGGATACACATATCCTGAAGGACCAGCGCATATTTTACCATTACTATTTCTGCTTCTACCTGGCATTGATCCAAGCGATACGGAGAGGTGTTTTGTTGCTTTTCGCCTTATTTCAGTTTACGCTACTCATATATTCATTATGGATCCGTCGAAACTTTCCACAATAACGGACGAAGAAGAAAGAAGAATATACGACGAGACAGCATCGAAATACGAAGATTTCGTTTTACAATTTTTTGACAGAGTATTCTACATCATAGATTCTAGTTCCTTAGAATCGGTTCGACTGGAGAGCACTGCTGGCAGTGGAAAAAGCAAATTGGAAAAAGTTACTGAAACTCTGCTCAGGGATGTCTGCACAAGTTTATTAGTTCAGACCAACGATAAAATCTTCGAGAGTGCTTTACACAAGCTGCGCACCTTTATAACCGAACGTATTCTTGAAACGAAAGTCGCCGGACAATTGGCTGCCGTGTTATGTAGAATATTCGCTCGCGTAAACGGCAAGAAAACACTGCGTTCATTGTTACCTCTGCTTTCGGATACTATCTTAGAGATCACAGGCGAAAGCAGCGACATTGTTATAGAAGAAAATTTGGACGGTCGCCTTTTGTACGCGATGCTGCTCTTATCTGCTGTTGTTGGTACACCAGGGAACAATTTGCTGCCATACATCGATCTTTTGATTACCGTTCTTGATCGTGTACTAGTCTTAAAGTCAAGAGAAGGAAACAATTTAGCTTGCATGTTATTGAAAACTGTTCTGCATTCGTTAGCCACTATGACGCCATACGAATTTGAGTCTACCGAAGACTTGTACTGGGGTCAGAGTCTAGATATCAATTCCTTGAAAGTTAAGTGGTACATACCTGGAAAAGAAGAAATGACTGCATTAAATCGAATGTTCTTTAAGTATTTATCCCCTGAACTAAACAAATTACAGAAATACTGCGAAGACTGGTGTTCGTTGTCGAGGTTTGTCATTACTCTCACATTATTTCTCGTCTTTTATTGGACCGCATATAGTTACAGTTGGATGTTACATGAACGGTATAATTTTAGGGACGAACTGCTGACTAGCTTAAATATTGTAAACAGTATTATTCAAGCTTGCGAGTCAGTTCTGCCAGTATGGAAAGAGGAACCGTTGGTTTTAATGAAATCGTGTTTGAAATTGATGCCTTTTATGCCAACGCTCGGTATGCATGAAGAAATATTAATGCCAGACGGTAGCAATGTGAGACGTCATATCGTAAGACTTATGGACAATTTACAGAAAGTAATATTGAAGCATGCAGAAGACGACACGAAAAGTTTATTTGTTTTAATACAGGTATTCGCTTTAACGCAATGTCTTCTTAAAATCTGTCGGTAAATTGAATGAATTGAAAATTTTTATTTTAGATTTGGAATAGTCTTTTGATAGGAAAGATTCGTTTGTTCGATGCTTACGAAGCGAAGCTCAAGCACTTTCATATGGTACATAAAATGATGAAAGATAAATTAGTAGGAAATAAAGGATTGATAAGGCCATTTGTACTTCAACGTGCTGAAATCCAACATGAGACGCGTGTAGTTTCACAATATTTCAACTTAACAGAAACTCACAAGAAGATTATATTTGAGCTTCTTACGTTATCAACCAGTAGATACGCTAATGTGAGATCGCAAGCTCAGTGGAGTCTATTTCGTGCTTTACAAGAGTTTACTTACTCTTACACGCTTATTATTCCACAATTGATTGATATATTACGAAAGGATGTGGAAGATCATCATGATGCGTACAAGGTTGTATTAACAATCTAATCGATACACACATAGTTTCGTCTTTCGGCCAAGACGAACGCAATATTACTTATGATTCAAATTAACGGTATTCAATAATTTCTTGTCAGAATTTTCATTATTAATGTCTTTTTTTTTTTTTTTTTTTTTTTTTTTTTTTTTTTTTCTTCAATAGGGCGTTTTGTATATCCTGTTTGGTCCCCAAGAAGAGCCCATCATTATGAAATCCGATTGGAAAATGCTGAGATCTTTATGGCCAGCTATAGTACTTTCTAAAACATCCGAGAAACTGTCTGTGGTTCGATTAAAGGAAAATTTAGTGGAAACAATAAATAAACGTTTTTTAAAGATAACCATTAAATTCGAAGTGCCGGAAACGTGTCTAGCGATAGCATCGAAATTATGGACAACTGAACCACGACCGAATCTCCCTAAGCCTACGGAAAATGAAATAGGAGAAGGTTTAAAAGCATCGAAAGAACTTGAACAATCTAATCTTGACGCATACAATGGCTTGGTGGACGAACTGTTAAACGCTCTTCTGGAAAAGAATTTACATTGGAGACATCGATTAATGGCGATGAATTTTATCAGAGATTTGGTCTATCCGACTCAAACCTATCCAGTGAAAGTGGTGCGTTACTTTTTAGGGGCGTTAATACACGATTCGCTGCAAGAGAGAAAAATTGCAATTAAAGTAGTCGTGTATATTTTAAAGCAACTTAAACGGAAACATCCGAAGATACTTATTGATCCTCCTACTCTGTCGGATCGGTCAAAAAAACTAGTGCCAGGAGGAAGATCAGACAACGTTTGGCTTCAATATAATTATGAAACGCGTCCTCTGACTGCAGAGCAATGGGATGAACCCAGATACGTTCACAATACGCACGTCGGATATTACATGTGGCCAACGAAGATCGAAATATACGCGCCGTCCTCCGAGCAACCGTGTCTAGATCCAAGTGTACGAAACTTAACAGAACACGAGAAGGAAGTGGATCACTTTTTCAATGATCCGCGAAATATTGAGAAACTTATAAGGTTTTTTAGCCTTGAAGAGAAAAAGGGCAAAGATAAATTCAATTGTTACAGATTTCTTCTCTTCCAGGGTCTTTTCCGTAACCACGGAATAGTGTATTTGAAACACTTATTGCCGCATTTGTATAATTTAGTTACGGACAAACAAGAAAGTAGTCAAAGATGCGCGGCAGAAATGATTGCCGGAATAATTCGAGGCTCGAAGCACTGGCCATTCGACATGGTCCGTGAAATGTGGGATTCTTTGTTACCAATTGTAAGGCTTGCCTTGGCTAACATAACGGTAGAATCTGTTATTGACTGGGGCGTGTGCTTTGCCAAGTCACAACAGCGTAGAGATCCGAATAGACATCATTGGCTACTGGAATGTCTATTGGAGGAACCGTGTCTTGCTGAATCAGAGTCGTCTTTCGCCGAATGCGGACGTTTGTTCATTCTGCAAGTAGCTCTCGACGAACAATCGTGGCGTGTTTCACACTTGTTGAGACGTTTACTAAAACGTACAGAGGATAGATTACTGGCGAGCCCATTCGAAAATGTGAGAGACAGATTAGCTTCCGTTCTGGTCACGGTGTTCAATGCGAATTTAAGATTTCCTGGTACCTCGAACAGTCAATGGACGCCGAGAACAGACGATTTAATAAACAGAATAATACCGAGATTGCAATCCCTTGTGACCGAAAACACCACGGTACTCAGCATGGACGAACAATCTTTATCTGCACAAGTGGCAAACGTTAAGTTCAATGATTCTTCAGTGAACTCGGAAAAGAACGTAGAGGATTGGGAAATGGCGATTCGATTGCTCAAGACAGTTTGCAAGTGGATCGCGAACACTATAATTCGTTCTCAGAATGGTTTACAGCCGGGATTTTATGAAATATTCCCAATTATATGTCAACTGGAAAATTGCGACATAGACACAGAATTAACGAAGTTGTGTACGTCTACTTTAGCAGTGCTTGCACAGGCATTCACTCTACCGCATGATATGCCAACAGCTTTGGATGCAATAATAAAAATGTCGAAACACAATTCATGGTGGACAAGATCTACTTGCTTGGAATTTCTTCAAGTATTTGTATTCCATAATATGAGTATATTGTTAAGTAATTCCGCATGGGTCGATTCCGTCAAAGATACAGTTCTATATTTGTTGGAAGATGAACGTCTCGAGGTTAGGAAAATCGCTGGTCAAGTTCTCAGTGGATTGTTACATTGCACATTCATACCGGAACCGGAACACTTGTTGGTAAGTGTCTTCTGTCCGTCCCAAGATATTCTTGTATCAAAGACGTCCAATGGAGGTATCTCTAAGTCAAGAGCTGACTTACTGTTATTTCGATTGATACTTAAACAAATTTAACTATTTACGAGGTCACTATGTACACTCTCCACTTCTTATGGAGAATTTCGAAAAGAATAGTATGTATATTATAGTTGAAAGAAATTGTATACAACAGAAAAATTCTTCCATCGGTGGTCCCTACTGGTAAGATCATTTTTATAACCGGATATCACATCTTGTAATGAATTTAATTACAATCGATCAGGAGGAGTTTAAGAGGAAGGCTATAACCAAACTATACAAGAAAGAACACTCAAGTCAGAATAAGGAAGCAACAGGGAAAAAGGGAAAAATTGATGTTATAAGGATTCGTCATGCAGCTGTACTGGGACTGTGTGCATTCATTCAAGCTCATCCGTACGATATTCCAGAATATATACCCTCAATCTTCGAATACCTTAGTCCTCACATGAATGATCCGCAACCGATACCGGTAAGCGTACAGCAAACTTAAAACGCATGAATATCAAGTAACTGTGTATATTATTCCTTTTGCAGACAACAATTAGGAAGACATTGGATGATTTTAGAAGGACACATTATGATGTATGGAGAGGCATAAAGGGGTATACGCAACACTTCACAGAAGAACAGTTAACTCTTTTGCAAGATCTGACAATGCCTCCATCCTATTATGCTTGATAGAAATATAAAAGTTTGTATTATATGTTTCTTATGGTTGTAATAGAATTTTTTTATCTGTAATTAACGACGGCGATCCTGAAACATGTTATAATCATCAAATGAATTATGAAAAAACAAAAAGAAACTTTGTAGTCATAGTAATAACACTGTCCAACAAATTTGAACTTTTTTTCGTTTTTGTAACCTCTAATAAGTGTATCTGATAGATCTTCATGAGCTGAATACGAATCTGCAAACTGTTTCTTTCCAGCACGTCCGGTTTTCGAAAAAATCAATTTTTTTTTAAATTGCAAATTTTCAACTTTGGAACTGTGTTGTGCTTTTACAGTAATAGTTATGCAATTTCTTTTGACACGAGCTAAATTCTCTGGACTCTTCCGAACAAAGTTATATAAATTATTATTATATCATAGACATCTAAATATGTTTAAATAATGTTTAAAGTGAAAAGGACACCGAAAACGCACCACTTTTTTCTGATATTCTTTAATTTATTTCAAAAACTAAAGGTCTAGGAGAAAATCTAACCACAGCATGCGATAGAGCAGACCTTTCTGCTCAGGAAAGTGGCAAGGAAAGTTACAAAATCTGTTTTGTTTTAAATAGGGAGGCGAAATAGTTCAGCAAAATACGCGGCGCCGACAGTGGTGACCGTGCGCGCCTAGCGCTTCCGTTATGCTGAGCGGCAAGCAAGGCGACCGCCGTCATTGAGTACTGTTGAAAATGGATTTTTTCAAAAACTAGACGTGCTGGAAAGAAACGGTTTGCAGATTCGTATTCAGCCCATGAAGATTTATCAAAAACGCTTATTGAAAAGTGCAAAAATTTGTAGGTGTTGAACAGTGTAATTACATAGATACATTATGTATAAATAGTAGTCTATAATTGGTGCTGTACAGTGAAAACAGAATATTATATTTAATACAATTTATTTATTTCTATCACAGAAGAAATATCATGAAACTGTCCTATTTTTAAGTTAAAGTTATGAAAGACCAAGTACTTGGACAGTAACTGCCCAGTGTTCAGAAAAATTTAAGAAATGGTAATGTTTATAAGAATTGTTAGTTTTAACTTTATCTAAAAATGTTACTTATGTTTGTACAATGTCAATTATAAATTATTACACTTTTGTTGACAGAGCAGTCATTCTATATAATTCTCTTTTTTATATCAAACTGAATACGATATGAAGGAATAAAGAAAATTTATTTAATAGAATAAATAATGCTGAATGTTATTTGATATAATGACTTAGAATTTGTTATCATAACATGAAAATACGAGCGAATCTGGCTAGTGTATAACTATGTAACAAGATTTGATATCAATTTCAATATACCTATATATACATATATGTACATATGCACATACATAAATACATACATATTTTCTAAAATACTGTGTCCATAAATTACTTCAAATGTTTAAACCAGTGTTTATTCTTATACTGGAAATTCAGAAAAAATAAATAGCATTTAAGAGAAGCTTAAGTTGTTTTATTCTACATGGTGCTTGTGTATAATTTATTTTTACTATATATAGGAAGGAGACTTCAGGTAAAATTTCTTACGATAGGTTATGTTCTATGTTACATAGAACATAACCTATTTAAGTATTTAATCTAAATAGTATATATGTAAATATATAGTAATATTACGTATATATTTAGAAACAGTTGATAGATACACACATGAAGTACCGCCTCGATAGTAGCTTTATCGACGAAACTGCTATCAGAAGCTTAATCGTATCAATTTCACTCAATCACGTATTTAGTGGTGGGGGTGGGAAAACAAATCATCAACAGAAACCAGTAGGAGAATGCCTATTGTCTCGCTTGTGTATAATTCCTTCGAACAGCAACCATAAATGTTACGTAAAGATGACACAGCATCTTTGAGTAAAGTATTATTTCATATTTGATAACACATTACTGTATCAATCTTATAATAGTCGTATTACCATGAGCCGAATAGTGATATTTGGAGCTACCGGAAATACCGGATTATGCGCTTTAACCAGTGCAGTGCAGAGGGGTAGTGTATTTATTTATTCTTCCATTAATTTATAAAAGATAGAAATTATTTATATTCAATAATTGACAAACTCGGATGTTTTAAAACAGTTAAAATCTGTGAAATGTAAAGCACATGCATAAGATCATTTTACTTTTACTTTGTATTTGACAATTTAGGACTAGATGTAAGGGTATTCGTGAGGGATGAAACAAAAGTTCCATCAAACTTAAAGAATAAAGTAGAAACAGTTGTTGGAAATGTTACCAATTTAGAACAGGTTTCTAATGCAGTATGTGACACAGATGCAGTGGTTGTTGTGCTAGGCACAAGAAATGACCTAAGTAAGTACTATATTTTACAAAAGGTATCAGATTTTCAAATATAACTTTTCTAAGTTGTGTATTTTCACGTTTTATATTTTAGGTCCAACTACTGTATTATCCCAGGGTATGAAAAATATAATAGATGCTATGAAAGTACATAATGTAAATGTAGTGTCTGTTTGCTTATCTGGTAATTGATTTCTTCGGAAAATTTTTTTATGCCAATGTATGTCAATATATTATTTAGATATCTACATAACTTTTTGTTTCTGGCAGCATTTTTGTTCTATGAACTTGAAGCAGTTCCTGCTATTTTTAAAGATTTAAATGCAGATCATCAACGCATGTTTGATCTCCTCAAAGAAAGTGATTTGAACTGGATTGCAGTATTACCACCACATATTGCAGGTATGTACCATATTATAAATATATTTGAATTAATCATACAACATGACAAAATTGTGTTTCCAGATGCACCAAGTTCAAAATATGTAGTAAAGTACGATGTGTCCCCTGGTCGAGCTATATCCAAACATGATTTAGGTGCTTTCCTTATCGAAAGCCTTCAGCAATCAGAACATTATAAGAAAGTTTGTGGCATTGCAACTGTTTCATGATACAATTAGAAATATGATTATACACAAATAAACATTTTTGAATAATTCATTAATGAAGTGTAGGTAATTAAAAATGTTCCACTGAGTACTTCATACTCTTTTGTAACTTCCACAAATGAATAAGATGGGTAAAGGTATTAAGAACGAATTCAAATTTTCACAAAAAAGATTTCATTGATATGACAAAGTAGGTATATATTTTTCGAAAAAGTGTATTATTGGAATGAATAGGACCTAGATTTTACGACTGTTTTGATGAATGAAAAATATTTCTGTGGTATGAGTGAATAAAAAAATAATTTACTAAATAAATAAATAATGCGTTTTACGACATTTACACATGGAATATGTAAGAGTCTTGTAGATGCAAGAATTTTTTTTCATTATTTTACTGTTATAACGATAATTTTTTTACCATATGTGTTCTGTGAGCAATTGAGCTAAAATCAAAGAATTTTGGCATTTGAAAGTTTGGCATTGGAGGTGGTGGTGGGCCAGAACATTGCATAGACTTTTCTTTAAGCTTTGCTTTAGTAAATGCTGCAGTAGAATACACAACATCATTAATTCCATATGCCTTAAATGGATCGCATGTTTTGTATCCATTTTTAAGGTAAAAAACTTCTTGGCCTTTGGTTATTAAATAGACATTTTTAATTCCTTTTTTTGTAACATATTCTTCTGCACCACGAAGCAATCTAGATCCAAGTCCCTGAGATCTACATTGGAAGTCAATTATGACTAAAATGTGGAAAAGGAAACTGTCATTTTGTTTCTTCTCTTTTCTTCCTAGATTTGCTTTCTTTTTTTCAAGGCAAGCTTACCTGATTGTACGAGACAACTATGACGTAATCTGGGTATTAAGGATATCTTACAGTGACCAAGAACTCTGTCCTCTTTATCAATAAGTATGAGACATGTAGGGAATTCATCGCACGATACATTCAGAGATTTTAACCTATTTTATGTAACACATAAATTGAATTTATAATATAAGTTTTTCTTTCAAAAGAAATTAATGTAATGTACCGTGCAGTATCACTTCGTGGCCATTCAGAATTGAGTAATGTGCAACAGTCTTGAGTTAGGTCTGGTCGTTGATGGAGAGGGACTATACAATATTCCTTGTGATTTTCTGTCATAATAGGTACTGCTGCAAATATACAATAAACGAAAAATAATATGATATATTTAATAAATATATATTAGTTTGTTCAATAAAATATGAAAATATTTATGAAAAGCCGATCCAGTAATGAAAAATTAAAAAGGAATATAGAATTTATATGAGTTAAATGAATAAAATTATTTCCAAGAAATGTGTAGATCCTCGGAAAATAGCCGCTGCACTCTAAACAATCCCAAATAGGGATGGCGCACGACACCTGCCATTGACAGACTTCGAAAAATAGAAAGTAACATGAACACGCGTCAACAAGTGTAATAAATACTTTGTAGCAGATGTCCTTACCGTAATTTTTTTCTTTACAAACGACGAGAACTTGACACGAAAGTTTAAAGATCACTGTGATCTCTACCTGTATGTATCTTGTGCGGAAATAACTTTCAGATTAGTATCATCTTGAGCTAGGAACGATATTTCTGTTGAACATATCCCCACCGTTATGTAAAATTTTCACCACACCCGACACATTATTGGGCATAACGCTCCGGTTGAATATACTGTCGAATGTATTCTTACACTCCCCAAATTATCTGTACTTCATGAAAAATATACGGTATTAAACTTGAATAAAGGATATTACATGTTTACCATTGTGACGAGGCGATCTACATAATAAAGTTCGCAAAAGTGAAGTCCTAAAGTCCTAAGTCCTTTACGCGACTTTAGTTTCCGTAAATTTTCTAATATCTGTCATAATGCGATGATAGTTTCTTTTAAAAATTTTGTTACGTAGTAGAGTTTTGTTCTTTCCGTATTCCATTTCTTTCTGGGCATCAAAAACGCGTTTGACTTTGATCTTGTGCATGAATTCTTTAGCGAACGCGATGCATCCAATCTCAACTTGTCCATGACCCATTCCCTTTTGGATGCGAGTATCTTTTTTCGCATTTGACCTATTTTTCTTAATAGCCTCTGTTCTATATGTGAGCACTGTTCTGCATTCTTTATTTCGGCAGTGCTGGTCAATGTCGTCTCTGATTATAGTGACACCGGTGACAGCATTATTTCCAATATAAACCGTGGCATCGTAAAAAATCCTTTCCAAACTAAAATAATATTTACGTATTTTTGATTGAGAATATAAAATGAAATCATTAATCAAAGTTCATATTTTTCTTACACATGATCTCGTTTTGTTGGTGCTTCGGAGCTTCGGAGTAAAGGAATATTTTTCAGGTCATTGAGAACCACTGATCACCACTGATCACCACTGATTATTACCGTGAAGTTTTGTTTTAATTGCATTAGTCACATACTTATAGTTTTACGATGTTTTGTCGTCGTTAAAAGTAAATAATGATATTGAAGCTGTTTATATGGAATATATTTATGAATACTAATGTTAATATTAATTTTAAATTGCGTTTAATACAAAATATTGAATGTAACTATCAATAACAAGTTTATTTCGTAGCGTAAACAGACATTTTTCCAAGTCAAAATGTTGCCAGGAAGACCTCCCGTGACAGGTAATATTATGCAAACTTTAATTATTATTATAAAAATTGTATTAACACAATGAAGTTGTTGTTGTTATTACATCTAACCTCGTTCTCTTTATTTTGTTAAATTATCAGAGAATCCTTTGGGACTTTCTTGGCATGATAGTGCATGGATTCCTGTATTGAATCCAAACAACATAATGGATTACTTTTCCGAAAGGAGTAATCCGTTTTATGACAGAACATGTAACAATGAGATTGTTAAAATGCAGCGTTTAAGTCCTGACCAATTACAGTAAGTATCCTTTGAATTAGATTACGAAAGATTTATGAAATAATGATGTTAATAATGAACCATTTAAATTTAGAAATATGACTGGCCTGGAATATATTCTTCTACATGTCCAAGAACCCATTTTATATGTAATTAGGAAGCAACATCGACATTCTCCGACTTTGGCAGCACCGCTCGCCGATTATTATATCATTGCAGGTGTTGTGTATCAAGCACCCGATTTAGCATCTGTTGTCAGCTCCAGATTGGTACTTATCAGTTATGAATTATGAATATTCTGAAAAACTTAATACTACTGGCTATAAACGTTAGTTCATAAACTGTAATTTATAGTTATCCACAGTACATCACCTACAATCTGCTTTTGAAGAAGCTAGCTCTTGTTCCCGGTATCATCCTAGTAAAGGTTACTATTGGGATTTCAAGAATGGTAAAGCATTGGCAACAAAGAAAGAAACTCCTGTTCGCGAGGAACCCAGCTCTTTGTTTCAACGTCAAAGAGTGGATATGTTACTTGCTGAGCTTACTCGTAAATTCCCATTGCCTGTTCCAAAGCCAGTACATCAACCTATAGAATCTTGTAAGCTTTTTTTTTATTTTACTGGAAATTACTTGTTGATCAACTAGCATAAGTAGAAATAAAATTCTACTTCCATTTCCAGCCATAGAGATTAAGCAAGAAGTGAAAGTTGAGAAAAAAGACATGAAACCACCACCAGAAAAGAAGCCAAAAGTTAATTAATAAAAACTACAACTGTATATAAGTGGTTAGGTTTAACTATGTATATATAATATTCTCTCTATTTCCACAGCATATTTACTTTATGCATTTAACACTGTAACTGATTGTATTTCCTGTTGGAATATAAAAAATAATGTACATAGTGACGAAATATTCAGATTAATTTACAATTAAACACGAACGGAATATTTTTTAATTCATGTACTCATTTTTTCTTACACCATGGACAATCGAGATTATCAATTTTTTCCGTCGCGAGTTGTTTCGTCTGCTTCTTCTTGGAATTTTTTGGCTTGTGCCGTATCTTTTCTGGCGCGTTGAAATTGCGTAAGCAAGGATTGTCTTCGCGCCTTTGCGGTCGAAACAGTGGGTAATAACTTGAAAAAGTGTTCGTCGTGATCTGCAAAAATGTTCCTGTTATCTATGTAGGTGAAACGAAAAAGTGATCTGTCACAGACTTTTATGCTGTTTTGTATGGAGAATGGAATACGATACATGACGCTTCTGTTCCTATTAAAAAAATCAACCGAAAATTTCCGTAGTATTAAAATTAGATGGAATTACATGTGTACATGTCACTTTCACTTTCAAATTTCATAGAGAAATAGTACCATAGAGAAGAAAATTCGAAGTGTCAAGATGGGATGGTAGTTCAATTTTTTTTTTGTTAGCATTTCACTTGTAATAGATTCGATCTGACTTGGTTAAAAATAGAGATCGTACATGAGATCAAGAAGGACAATGATATGCGACGGAAACACGTGCTGTAGAGACTACTTCGACACGGAACAGCACGAGCAGAGCTACGACGAAGATGAGTTCATCAGAAGCCTAAAACACGAGAAATGTAAATTCATCCAGTTGGTTCGTGAACAAATGCACGAAGCTTGCAATAGACAAGTAAAAATCATCCGAAAAAAAAGTTTTTTTGTTTGAATGTTCGAGAAAAGTCTCTGAGAGAAATGCAGCTAAAGTTTTGTTCCCCAGTACACGATATCCTCCATAGTGGAATCGGAATACTGCCCGATGGAACGAAAACACATGAAACTTCTTATGACCGGAGAACAAAACACGGAAGGACATATGAGTATGAGCCAGCAATCATCTATCGTGCCGCATAACCTTTTTATGAATGGTCCGAGTTCAAATTATCAATCGAATGTTGCGTATCGTTTAAGAAAAGTTCGCCAACGCCTTTGCATTATGGTCCTGATCGTCGCAATCATGGCGATCGTGTTTCTGGTATACCTAATTTATTTCCGTGCATATCTCTGCAACAACGGCCAGTCTTGCGTCACTTCTATCCGTTATACGCACGCTAAACACACATTGTTTTAAATACAAAGAAATATTAATAAAACACACATTGCACTTTAGAATGTTTAAAACATTCAACAGTTTCCGTACAAATTGACAAATATACTCTCTCAGGACTCTTCCTAAATATCCTCAGATTGGAAAATTATTTTTTTCTTTTGAGTAACCTTTTTACGCATTAATTTCTATGGAAAACCGCAGAAAGAAACGGAATCATCGTGATGGCAATTGATCTATGCTTACTATTCTATACATGTAGGGTTATACAGCTGGAATAAGTAAACCTTCTAAGACTTGACACAAAATATATTAAACTTGGAATAATACACCATGTGTAGCGTTTAGTTAGTATGCAACTAGTTAGTCGTCTTGATGGATTCCTAGATCGTTTCCGGCTCCGGAGCGCGTTCTCCAATCCACGAGGAGATTTTTTTCGAACACCAAAACTCGACGATAGGACCAGTTGCAGAGTTTGTTTCGTTTTGCTCCGTTCACCGTGTACCGGCAACAGTAAACAAGTACGATTGTGTTTAGGCTTCGAAATCGGTCCTTCTGATATGTGTTTGCTTGTTCTTCCTCTTTTCCGAGTGGCATCTTTTACACGCAACTTTCTGGACCAGGTATAGAATTGGCGATAATGATCTCCTTCATTAAGTTACGGTCAGCTTTGAAGCTGATGGGCTCCCATGACTTCGCCGAGAACGGGTTTAACTGTAACCGTGAACAGAGAGAAAGAATAACAATGTTTTAGCCCGCGGTGTTGTAAGTTTAAACGAAACGAAAATTTAATGAACATTATTTTCACAGAGTTTGTAGGACTCGACGCGTTGAGACTTTCGCTGTGTTTTACTTATCGAAGAACACTTACGCTGCATCTGTTAGTCTGAATCCCCTGTTTATGAATGTCGTACGGCGCGAACAGGGTATCCGGCCTGACAGGTAGAAACAATTGTGGTTCGCGTTTGATTTTCTCTTGGTCTGAAATGACTACTTACAGTTAGTTAATATTTAGCGGGACAGTGTAATAAATTGCCGAGTAAAAAGGGGTACACACCTTGTGGCGACTGAATGATGTCCGGTTGATTGTTGAGCGCGTAATCCGTCACCTGTTTCAACGTATACTCGACGAAGTAAGTGTGATCACCGTGCGTGACGTCGAGCATCGAGTTGTTTCGCGAGTCCGGTGGCGTGATTATCGGTTGTTTCATGTACGGCTCGATATGCACCGGAGACGTCGTGCCTCTGCGTCGGTACATCATCAGCATTACCGAGAGCACGGTGACGCCGAACGCCATCAGACAACCGATTAGAAGTAGGATGAGAGGTACCATACTCACTCCGCTGTCTGAAGAAAGAAAAGTATGAATATTGTCTCTCGACCACGAACGGCTCTAATCGTTGCTTCCTAAGTAATTAGGAAATCACACATTACTGGACGAAGCGTTTATAGACAAAATCGTGTATGTCAACTGTACGTCTACTCGGATTGTAAATAATACGATATACGTACATACAGTTTGTCCGTTTTAAGTGTATTCGTGGGATTATTTCCGTAAATAGCACAGGACTCTCCAGCGTTATCTCAAGGTTAAATAATTATCATCGTGATATATCCCCCATGATATCACACAACTTACATCCGAAACATTGTTTCGTATTTTTCCTACTTACAGAAATAATTGCACGAGTACATTTAAGACGGACATACTGTATAATACATGATGCGAACAGCAGTGCCGTCATTCGATGGTCCGTATTACCTGTATGTTTCTCAGAGTCTCGCAACATTATATCTTCCAGCAGACTACTTTCGCTTCTCCCCTTGGCGTTCACGGCGTACGTGACAAGATAAAAATGGGTGGCTGGAAGCAGATCCGCCACCGCAATACGGAACAACGGAACATCCGCAGATATGCTAGACGCGTTCACCCGTAGATTCCCGGTGTGGACCTCGTATGCTTCCAGTCGGAATTCTTGCCTGAGCCCCCCGTCGTATCCTGGCACGCATTCGACCTCGAGGATCTCGGAACTTTGATTCAGGGATGCCTTTATCGTGCAGTTGTTCAGGGGATTTGGTTTCACTGACGTGAACAGATAAGGTGACATATGTATACAATTATCGGCGGTGATGAAAATCCGGTTGATATATCCGTTAGAATGAGGTATTCCGTTATTTTGTACCTGCAGGAATGATTTGGTAGATGCAAGGCGCTTCCTGCTTCCCAATCACGTTTCTACCCCAACACGTCAAAGCACCGTAATTCCTTTCCGACACTGGCGTGTAAACGAGCTCGCTCATCGTTCCGTTATTACCGTCGAATTTCGCCGGCGCGACCTCGAAGTTCTCCCCACTGTTGTTAAGCTCCCAAAGGAACTCCACCTCGTTCGGATCGGCGTCCACTTCGCAACGCACCTTCACGGACTCTTCCAGCGACACGCCGATTACCGTCACGTCTTTCGCTTTGCACACCGGGGCGACTGCGTGTTCATTTAAAGAATTAGTTGGGGCCGTTTCGTATGCAAATTATTTTCTCTTGTTGTCTATTTCATCGGTCTATTATTTGTTCTAAACAGATACCGTCTACCGTTCCGCGGACATACATCTAAATAATTAACGTTCATGCGTGACATTGAGAATTAAAATAATTACTCCGATTCGATCGATAATTATCCATAAAAAATGTATCAAGCGGCCTTACACTGTACTCGCAATGTAACCGCAGGGCTGGTGGTCTCGCCACGATCGTTGCTCGCGAGACACGTGTAGTTCCCGGCGTTGTTGCGACCGATCTTCTGCAGCACCAGGCTCTGGGTGCTCATGATTATTCCGGCTGAATAGTTCTGCGTTAACACGGCGTCCTGCAGATTCATTAACCGTATCAAACGAGAGCGTCCCTCGAGGACAGGAATACACACACCGGATGAAATTCATGTTTGAACCTACGTTGTGTCTCCATGTGATTTTATGATGTTCCGGATTGGCCCGGACCTTGCACTCGAAGTATACATCGTCGCCCTCCTTGATTTTATCCGCGTTCAGAGTGCTGCCCAAGTGTAATTGTACTTTCGGTGGAACTGCAAAAATCGAACCACGATAAAACATGAGCTTGATCTCGTCATCGAACTAAGCGCGTCTTCTCGTGGTCGAGACGTCGCGTCGTGTGTACTCACAAACTACGTTCAATTGAAAAAAATCTTCTAAGTACGCATCTGGCAGTGCTGGATTCTCTCCCCGACATTTCAGGATTTTCCCGTGGTCGTCCGGGATCGGCGAGAATATCAATGTACTCAATACCACTGATGCGTTACCACCATCGAGCACCTCCAAGAATAAAGTCTGGATTTAAGAAAATATTTCGACTTCGCGATTATACCGCCGCGAACAATTTCTTTATTATTTATTACTTTTCCATTGTGGTAAACAGCATTCCCCTCCATCCATGTGATTCGAGCTCGAGGATGCGATCCCGTCGTCTCGCAAGCGATCGAGTAGTCCTTCTCGGTCTCGAGGATCGTTGGCTTTGACAAGATTTTCACCGACAACGGTTTCACTGGAATTAGGTATTTTTGTTTTTGTTTTTTTGTTTTTATTAAAAATGTTTCGAAGAATCCTTAAGCGGCGTCGAATTCCGTTTTACTCACGATAAACGTCCAACAGGATCGTTTTCTCCAATGCCGGTATAAGATCCGTGTTCGCGGCTCGGCATTTGTACGTGGTGTTCCTGTGCTCCCTCCTTAGTTGAGGTATCCTTAGTTTACTGACGACTATGTGACGACCGATATCATCCAATCTACTGTCCACCTCCTTTTCGTTCACCAACCAACTCACCACCGGCGTGGGTTTCCCTGTGTCGCGACAAACGAGCATGAATTGTACTTAAAAAAGCATCAACGATCGAACCTTTATCCGTTAGTATAATCGAAGAAAGGGGGGGGGGAGCAATTACCTCCTCTGACTTCGCAAGAGAGTTCGAACTCGACGCCAACTTGAAACGGTCCAGCGGTACTTTCTACCTCCACCCCGGAACTGTTGTAGATCAAAAGCTGATGTGGCGGAACTGAAAGTCGAAAAAACACCTTGATCAACAGAAACGAACAAAATTCATTCTCGAGAAAAATTTTCAAATCACATACATTCAATTCTAAATTTTCAATTCACACACGAAAAAAAATCGTACCGATTACAGTCAGATTAACTTGAAAGTTTTTCGTTGGTGAATTCTTGAAGTCCACCCTGCACCGATAAATCCCCTCGTCGTCCAGTTGAACCGCCTCCAGGGACAGGGCAGCAGGTTTCGTAACGGTCACGAAGTAAGCCCTCGGCCCGAGCACGGTGCTGTCCGACCAGTTCAGGGCTTTGTTGAATGCCCGTCCCCGCACGTCGAAGCTGAAACCACCCGATGACCATCACCTTTAGCATTTATTGTCTTTGGTTAAATTTTCGTAGAAAAAAAACAAAAGGTGGTCTCATCGTCACCTGTAAATCGGTTTTACCGCATCGTCGCGGAACCAAAGCACCATATATACGCGATCCTCCCGCGTGGACGGTTCAATGTCACAAGGCAATCTAGCGGTTTGCCCGAGAACAGCACTGACATCGAATGTTGCGACTGGAAATAGAGAATTATACCTACAGAGCGCGATATTGTCGGATAATATCTACTGTACATCGTCGGTCGAACGATCTATTTTCCAGAATTTCGAGTAAACTGGATATACTGATTCCTACCGATCATAAAGACGTGTAAATGTTAACATAACTAGACAGTTGCATGTGCTTGGTTAGGACTGCCTTGGTACTTACTATAGGAAACTCGATAACTATTCGGATGGAATATCTAAAATGTGCCTCTGAATCGTTATTCGATCGCTAAATTGTCTATTGACCCAGATACGTTCATAGTTACTTTAAATAGATAGGTTGCATGCACGGGTCAGGCTTGTGTACAGCAGATTCGTCATCTTATTCGCAATCGATGTCAAGAAAGCCTGATATTCACTGGAGAGGATATGTATACGGTTTGGTTACGGTTAGGTAGATAGGCATTGGACCAATGCGTGTACAGACTACTTGAGATCTAATGCGTGCGCGGTAGGTCAATTCAACTCATCAGAGAGTCTGCTTCATGTGATGTTCCATCTACTACCTAAGTGATATGGGTATATCATTTGTCGGACACTTGTCGGATCATCACCAATGATCACACTCTGTAGTGCTTGTATACATACCTACTCTACATATATTGGTAGTCTCTCCTTTACCCGGGTGGTATCTGTACTATTTTAAGTAGATAAAGTCTATCGTTTAGATGGACTAGTGTACACGCAAGTCAAATAACTATTTAACAATATCTGTTTCATCATTGATTAGACACATGTGCACGACTGATGCCTACATACATACTAGTTCACAATGTATTCGTACGTTTCCGTCGTTATCTACTTACGTTGATACAATCTTTTATTCGGACGAATGTCTTAACCTTCTCAGACCCATTAGTGCACATTATAATGTACAATAATTTTAACGTTTGTTCCAAAGAGATTTCACGTTTTATTTTTACCGGTACCTTTTGTACGTCAAATAAAAAATTCCATGAAAAAAACTTGTTCTCAAAAGAAAGAAAGTCAGGTCTGAAGAGTTTAACTATTAGCTTCTTAATTCTTGCGTACCATGTACAACAGTCTCTTTAACCATCTGAAACTACAGTCCGTGTTTCGTCAGACGCATATCCACGCAAACTGACAGAGGGGGGGGGGGAATATCGCAGAAAAAAAATGCGCATAGAAGAATTTTTATATCGAGTCTCCCGTCGAATGATACGTACCTAAGTCATCGTCCTTATCCCAATTGCCGGTCGCGTTTACATAGACCACCACGGCGAGTATGTAACCGCTGACGAAGAGCTTGATCGCAACCTCGGCAAGCGCTCCTATTGCCATCCCAAACGGGAATAGTCTGAGGGATGAGCTCGGTGCGTTCAAATCCGCAGCTTGCATAATGTCGCCCCGCGCCGGCCTGTCCTGTGGCTCTCCTTTATTATCATTCCACGTCAAGAGGTAGACGGCCTCCTCCTCCTCCTCCTCCTTTCACCTCGTCCCAGCCCTCCTCCTCCTCGTCCTCGTGCGACGTCCTCCGTACGATACCCCCGTTCAAAGGGGTAGGGATAGGGTGCAGGAGGACACGCTCACCGATGTATAGTAATTCTCCTTAGCGCGAGATGACTGACTTTCGTGGAAATCGCTCGTCGTTTCCACGGGACCGCGCAGCGTGCATCGAGAACACAACTGTTTCTCCGAGAGAACCAACGATCCACCTGTGATGTGCGAACTTAATCTTCCGTCGATTCGACGCTCCGCGACAGCCTCTCTTCACACGGCGGCGTCGAGTGTCGCGACGTAGAAAAAAACACACAGAGGTTCCATTCGTGATTTCGATTCGATTCGATTCGATTCGATTCGCTCCGTTCCGCTCCGCTTGTAACCGATAAATAGGAAAGAAGAAAAAATGCGGTCGAACGAGGGTTCCGCCGATCTAGGTTTACTGGGTCATATAGTCATATGTATGTGCGAAGAAAACACGTTCTCTTCTCTATAAAATTATTGTCGTTTCACGACAAGGCCTAGCCGGCTTGCAACCACCAGCAAACAATGGCGATAACGGAGTGGACAGCAGACGATACATAGGGGGGAGGTTCCTCGTGGTTCATATGGGGGCACCTGCCAATGGGGCTAGTCACGCCGTAGGAATCTCTCTCTATCCGCGCTAGCACCGTGCGTTTCTCCGCCCGAACTTTTCCGTGGTTTCACTTTCTCTACCCCGTTTTCCCGTATCCACCGTTTCCGTCGTTCGTTCACGCCTCCTTTATTCCCGAGTCTGAATATCCAGCCACCACGGCACGACGACGATGCACGCACAAACCGCGACCGCGGAGGAATCACCGTTGAGTTTCTCACTGAATCAACTTCTCGCGACCAATACTACATATAACCACGCACCACCGTTTCCCTCGGCTCAGCCAGCTACTAAGAGGAACGTTCCCGTTTCTTAATGGACACCAGGCCACCCTCGACATTTGGAGGGTCGAGGAAAGAGTCCCGAGGATTGTGAACCGCGACCGCCGGTATGGTTTCTCGCGAGGAACCGCCGCCACGCCGCCGTCGCCGTCGCCGCGTCGTTCCAATGGACACACGCTTTGCCAGGCGTCGCTAACCCCGACGACGACGATGAGCGGCCGATCGATTTTCGTGAAGTCAGTCTGATCTCGCTTCGTGTTTCGACGCTCTCGATTCCCGCACAATATATAGCTCCCCCTCCCAAGCAAATCTCTCTTTCTGTGTGTGTGTGTGGTAGGGCAACGAGAGGCGGCTCGGCGCATGCATGCACGCACACATACACACACGCGTGACCACCCGCGCAGCGGCAGCGGGCGAACAGCGACGAACATTCACGACTTTACCGTTCGTTTCGTCTCGTCCTACCCTCTATCGGCGCTCTCGCTCACTCCTTCGCCGTGCTGCTAGACGCTATTCATTGTTAGGGGTCGCGAGACGCGGTGAACTATTAAACTATCTTCCGCGACGGAGGTGAAACCCCTCCCTACTCCTCCTCTCTGACCCTATGACGACGCGACGTTTTACTTCCTGATGGGAGAAGAATAACCGAAGAGGGATTACTGGAATATTCTCATTTCAGGAACGACGATGGTGTCTGAGATTCTAGAGGCGGGAATTTAGTATGCGATCTGAGAAATTTTCATTGGAATTATCTAATCAACGAGTAACCCAATGATTATTGGATTCTTTCAACGAATACCCTTGGATCCTCTGTTTTAGGGTTATGGAACACTTTGAAGGTAGTATTCGATTCTTCAGAAGGTTGATTTCCTTGAGTTATACATCATTGTCATGTATAACACATACACTAACGGCGAAGAGTATGGAACTAGGTCTGATATTTAAAGAAAGAGAAACATATTATTCTAGAAAGAGTTAATGAAGGTAAGGTATTAAAACTGATGGGAAGTGTATATGTACTGATTCTGTAACTTTTATTTTATCATAACAGAATAATAAGTTACTGTTTCCTATCAATCATGAAGTCTGGTCTCATACTTTGGCCGATACTTATGCGTTATGTATGGCAATGACGTGACCCGTGTTATCTAAAATCTAAAAGAATCGACCCTCGATTCTAAAAAATCGAATCAGAATCGAACGTCCTTACTTTGAAGCTTGCTTAGAATTGTCCCGGTGTCACCCCAGGAAACTTCTGTGCAGACGTAGATATAGAAATATAGACTGCGCATCACTGCGCGTCTCCCTGAAAGTGGCCGTTCCAAGTTTAGAAAGAGGTAAATAGGTTTGTAGATAGCTTTCGGAGGACTTGGCATTTCTTTTTAAATCTTCTGGGGGTTTTTGACAGGTTGACTCAGCTATATTAGAACCGTAGTATCCGTTTCTTTCTCAAGTTCGGACGCCAGCCTACCCTGACGCGCAGTCTAGATATATATACTTCTATGTCCTATGAGTGCAAATAAGTGATTCTGGTCAATAATTATCCGTACTCTGAAACTTTAATGGGATAGAGTGGTTCCTTGCGATAGGTGGCTTTGGAGGGCGTATACATACACTACCGTGAGCCTAGAGATGACAAAGTATCGCGTAAACTGCACGTACAAAGTCAGTCTTATGGGTACATTACACCGAAAGGGGAAAAATTTATCAGTCTCGCGTTCGAATACGACCCCTAATGTGTTTGTTACGTCGACCAAGAACAGGGCCGCCTATTTCAAGAACACCCCGTAGAATCCTCGTCTGCTCCTTCAGGGTAAATGCATCGCAGCATTAGCAGCACGGCGGATAGACTGACAAAACTCTGTTCTGTTAATAATGACAGTATATTTGAAATAGTAATGTTTACAACATACAATTGCGACGTTACTACAGTATATATATAATTTTTTGTTGTCTTAATTTTTTTTCGTTTAAGGTTATTGATAATGTTCTCGCACAAAAAGATCACACGCACCACATCAAATTCTATGCACATCCCTTGGCCATGGGCGTTGCACTGTTTTACCCCCTTTTTTTCTCTTCCTCTCTCGCTCTCTCTCTCTCTCTCGTTCACTCACTCTTTCAAGAAAATAAGCAAAGCACGGATTCTTGTAAGCCGAGGCTACATGCTAATCGCATACTAACGTGTGTGTAATCGAACAACAAAAGAAGAAACAATCAAACACGGCGAAATGTACAATTAATGGTTGTCTGGATGCTGGGAGTAGTTTTTGTCACTTTTCCCCACTGATTCATCTCTCCCCTCGGTACGACGGTTCGTTTTCTTTTAGGATGGTTTTACGGGAAGGGGGAGGGGGCCGTTCAGGTTTACAAACGAGCAACAGGACCGGCGGAAAATAATTTCATTACAGTCATATTGTCATATTGGTGTCTGGTTAACAGTTCTGAAACACGCTGTAGTTCGAGATGTGCGAAACTGGCCCACCGGAAATCGCGGGACACGTGGACGTGGACCAACGTAATTAAAACGGAGCTACTTTACCCTCATATTTTTTTTTTCGACCGACCGCCGATGTTCTCCAATCATATATTTTTTGTTCTCGCGCGCTCTCTGTGAACAATAGAGCGCGGGACGGTTACACGCGACTGTGAACGGTCGAACTGTTTGACGTTCCGAGCGTTTCGACTTAATTTATTTTTTTTTTTCGTCTTCCGTTAATACATACGATTATCTCCCTGTCTCTTTGCTCTCTCTCTAGATCCTTTCGCGACGGCGGTTACGTGTGGTGTGTCCCTCTCGAGCCTGATTTCGAACGTACCGTGACTTTACGGACTATGGCACTTGGTGCAACTAGTTTTTTCGGATTCTCTGGATACTGACTTACACGTGTAAGGTACTTAAATCGTTACTGTTATTTATATATAATATATATATATAAAAAAAAATATATATATATATATATAATGAATTTATGACACATAGTAATTCGTGCGTTTCATTATGATACAGGCGTGCGCAAAGGTGAATACACAAGTCACAATTTTATTTTTTCTTTCTCGTAAGTTCTCTGCGAGTCACGGGTTAGAACAAGAAGACTCTGAAATCGAATATGCTTCTCGTCTGTATGGCACGAGAATACTTTTTAGAGGAAGCGCATTTGAAAACCCTTACAGTTTGTCTCGTGCAATCATGCCCAAGAAGTTTTCTCCTTAAATATTAATTTTTTGTCCAGTATCTATGAAATGTTAACATTCATATATACTACTTACTATTTATTATAAGTAATTAACGCTTAACCGTCCGGGCGCGTTTTTGCAAGACAGTGCTCGGTTTCTGAACTGGTTTAGTTTCGTTAACGCACGTTGGCTGGCCACAAACGGAAGTCTGGTCTACTACCTATACTATATTAAGAGGAAGAAGAAACACCAGTCGAGTACACTGTATCGTCAAAACACACTGACTCGCGTGTTCTCGATCATCCACATATTCCGTTCAAGTACGACTCCTCTCTCCCGGTAGTTCATTTTGAATTTTCATGATTGCTTTTTGCAATCAATGGTGTCAGGAGTATATAATCGTGACGAATGAGTAAACGCCGAGAAAGAGAATTTCCCCGTTGAAAACCACGCGGTCAGCCAAGCCGTTAACACACAAGTTCCCGGGTGGTTTATCCCTCTCACGATTTCTATTATATAGGGAATCCTTCCAAAATACGATTTCACGTCCGATAAACATAAACTTGGCTGCACCCCCCCCCCCCCCCCTCACGTGATAAGGAACGTGAGAACGGATTCGATCCTCATCCGAATCTCAGGTCCAGTCTTCACTCAGGGCTAGTATACATCATCTTGATAATATGAAGGGGGGGGGGTAGAGTGTACATTTCAATAATACGGGGGCTTCTATTATACATTGTCTTTTTTATTGGTACAAGTGTCGTCATCGTCGCCGCGCGAGCGTGAATATTTTACGTGAATGAACAATAAAATTTGGCAGGTGCAAGAGTTTGATATTTCTTCCATTTCTTTTTTGGTTTTTCTTTTTAATGAATCGTGTGCGCATATATGCTCTCCGCATCCCCCTTTCCCGGTTGGACTTTTCCTTCGTGTCTCGCTACTTTGCTCTCATCGTGTACATTTCTATAGCTGCACTCTGTGTAGGGTATCTGGCTAAATAGACGCACACAGGCGCTACGGAGTCTAAGGTATCGGTCCGTCGGTTTCGCCTAGAAAATGAAAGGATACTTTTCCTTCCCACCTGTGTCGGCCATTTTTGTTCCCTCTTGTCTCGACGCGAAAAAGGATTTCTTTTCTCTTTCTGCACACTGGAATTACTAAAATATCTCCGCTGACAATTCCCTGCGACAGAGTACCGTAACTATTCGATCGGATACATAAGTAACTTACGCTGAAGGTTATTCGCGAATGAAACAGAGAAACGAACCCGAATGGTGGGAACAGAAAAATGGATGATCGATGGATTGTGGTACCACAGAGCATCGATTACGAATTCCATTCGACAGTGAACCTGGTTCGAGAACGATGCATAAAGAGTTTATTGTTCATTCTTTTTCGGAGAATGAGAAGGTATTATGTTAGAAATATCAAATTTCCAGTAAAACTTGCATTTAAATATTATTGTTCTCGCATCTGTAAATAAGATGCTACGTGAAAGAACACCGCATACTACCGTCGTTTACCAAGAAAACTCAATTTTCTTGGGTAGGCGCTGGGGCTGGAACTACGACGCGGCAGAACTTATCATGGCGGGGACTCTCAATATATTTCCGCCTCCGAAAATTTTACTCTCTCCTACAGTCCCTGTAATATCTCAAAAGTTCACTATATTATGAAATCAATGTATTAAAATGTAGTTGAATCATATAATATTTATGCAAGGCCAAAAGAGTAAAGCGAGAACTGTTTGGACCGCAAAGGTTAAGGGCCATATGGTGTACAGAACAATTATCGATTCCCCTGTGTCGAAAGGAAAAACGTGTGAAAGAAAATCCAAGTTTTGCATGCTTATTTACAATTAGTCTTAACCGTAAAATTCTATTCCGAGTACAAGAAGCATACTATACATCGTATACCTACAGGGCATGATACAGTTAAGAAATATCGGTCTTGTTTCGCATAATCGATCGTATCGCTGTATATTGGTCATACTCAAATTATATTAAAAAAGAAAAGAAAAAAGAAAGAACACACAAAGAATAGATCTCTGGTTTAACAAACGAATAAGGAAATAGGTTGTGTCGGGTGCTCCTGGGATGGAATGATCGAATAATACAACGAAGTCACAAGAGAAACGAACGAAAAAAACAGAGTGATATATCGGCAACACGATATATGTAACAAGGATACGCAAAAAAATAAAAAATATAATTTACAATTTGTAATAGTATATTTTTTTTTATAGTGATAGTATAATCAATGTGTATATGTATATATACTTATTGATATATATATATATATATAATGGGGCCAATTGATATTTACAGAATACGTTGTGGTATTAGTTTTTGCGGGCACGTGGTTCCTTTCATTCTTTCTTTCCCTCCTTTCGTTAGCACATTTGATTTCATTATGACTTATTACTTTAATAATATATATATTTTTTTCCTGTAAAGAAAACCCTTTGAACAATGCAGTCTACCTTATATGCTACACCGCAAAAACAAAACCGAGAGAACTATGGCAACTAACGGTAATAATGGCAAGTATTTTGCTGTCGAAAAACAAAAAAAAAAACAAAGGAATCTCGGTGTGAAAAATGATACACTGTGTTGGTGACTTATGTAAACAAGAGAATAGTATAAAGAGAAATAAGAAGTCAGGCGACGAACCATAATCACGGAAGAATAGAAAAACGAAACAGGAAAATTCGATAAATAAACTGTAACTCTAACGTTTAAAATGATTAACAAAGGGAGAACACACTTTTACACGTTCTGCTCACATGAATCATGTCCGCGCATGATGCGAGTGGCACTCGACAAAAATACACACACACACACGCGCGCGCGCGCGCGCGCGAACATACATACACACGCAACCCGGACGAAATGTACAATGATGATGTGAACGCGGAACGAAGCGAGAGAGGAAGAAAACGAAAAAAAAAACCCTAAAACGTAATACAGATAGCAACGTACTTTTAAAATATAAATCGGGAAACATCGTGTTCTCTTTATATGCGCTGCGCGACAACCTCAAAATATACGTAAAGTCGGCAGGCACGAAATAGTGTTCTCGTAAAATTAAGCATTTATTAGGGTCACCTATTCATGTAACCGCAACAAAGAGCTGTACGCACCCCACGTTGCACGCGGGTGCCAGTATCGCCGTAAGGGACCCGAATATACCTAGAAGTTGCCTGAATCTCCGCTGCAAACGTCATTTCTGTATTGATATTTCAAACTTCTACTTACAATATTTCATCAAAGGTATATACACGGCATTTTGTCTCTGCCGCCCCCTACTGAATAGTAATTACTAGACTGTGGATTTTCTGCATTTATAGCATAGGCTATCCTTTAGAATTCAGTAAACTTAAAAACTAGATGAAGTTTTAAAAAGATTTTTATTTGATTTAAACACTGGTAGAAAAATAAATAAAGTATACAAACCCCTATTTGACTTTAGCTCTTGTAGATTAACCAATCAATATCTATATCTGCATAAATATCCGCAGTCTAGTAATTACTAAACTGCAGGTAACCCATTCCGAATTGACATTGCACGGTCCTGAAGAGGCTCGAGCGTCTCAGGTATTACAGTTTCGGCTGTCGAAACGGGGTACTTTTGCAACTTAATGATGGTACGAGGACACTATATCGTGCCCGCCGACTTTACGTATCTGCAGATCGCGGAGAGGGGTACTCGAATGGTGTGTATCCCTCTGTAGAGAATTTACGTTTTCTTCTTTTTTTTTTTTTTTTTTAGAATTTCACGAGATCAATCCCATAAAAACATGTCCAGCACAAACACACGCGAATCAACAACAACGCATATCTCCGGTGCTCCAATGTTACACTGAAGCACGATACTCTCGTTTGCATTTTACTCGATCGGTAACGAAGCTCTTTATGTTCCGAGAGTATCGCGCAGCCGATTGCATATCTTTGTACGGGACTACATGAATTAAAAAAAAATAAAAAAAAATAAAAAAAAATAAAAAAGAAAAATCTAATACATTCTTCAACAAGTAGAAAATACAAACATTGGAATCGTGCCGCAGCCGAGCGTCCAATGTTTTCAGTTTTACTCTGTTTTCTCTAGATATTTTTTTTGACAGTTGTGTGGCGAGAACTTCATACTTTTTCAAGAGAGATTCGATTGAGTGGATCGTAGAGACGGGTGAAATTCTTTTGCTCAAAAAACGATTAATTTTAAAGATACGATTAATTTCACAATCAGGTTGTTAAGACGAGTAACAAAATTCTGTGTATTATCCGACAACTCGAAAAGATTCCGCGTCCAAACGATAAATCTGCCTCCTGTCTCTCTGGTAAACGGGGAATCGAAAGCCATCGGGGGAATACACGTAACAAATGGTCGAGACTGGTGAAACGCTTTAGGACACGGCTGCCGCAGAAAAACAATGTTTGCTGAAAGCGTAGTATTAATTTTTTTTTCAACACGCTTTGAAACTGTGAGAGGTTAGAGATCACAGAAAGACACGTTCATTCCTCCTTTAGCTTCGAAGTACCATGTAGTCTCATCATTTAAAAAATAATAATAATAAAAAGCGCAATAGAGACAAAAAATACTTACTTAAAAGAACACAAAATAACGAGGGCGCAAAAAAGATCGTAATTGCCTATCCTTATAATTTCAATTTCCACTAATACAATAAACATACTTAACAGTCGTTAAACGATAATCGCGATAGTATCAAAAGTAGAAAAACAAAATGGTTGCCAAGAGAAAATAAACGATCGACGAACAAATTTATTTTTTGTTTTCACTTATTCACGATTACAACGTGTAGAGAGCGCGCGTGAAAAAATTGACTTCCGGTATTCAGTCGTGTTCCGATAACTTCCGGTCAAGTTATCTCTAGTTATTCTTTCTCGAGATTGTTCGTTATTTCTTTTTCGTTACTCTGGCGGCTAGGACACCTTAGTTTTTCATTTTCCCTGTAGTTCCTCCCGCCCCGAGTTTCTAACAAGAAATCACAAAGTAGCGAGTAACGGAGGAATCGGAGAGAGTGATTCAAGAATCGTTTCTTTCACGAATCTATTTCCGTGTCGAAAATTTGAACAACGGACAGCGCGGTAATAATTCCAATCGTGGGAACAGAGGACAAAAGCACGAACCGACTTGGTGGTTTCGCGTTCTCCAATCCCAGTGCACGTACAGAAAATGCCTTCGACTAGTAACCCTTGCCCTCTGTCACCCCCCAGTGCGCATATACAACGTGTGTGTCGCACATTATATATAGTTATAATATACGTATAATATGACACTGCGGTGTAATAATACTACGGACGTTAAGTCGGTAATTGTTCAAAGGCAATTTTCTCGCGGTACCGTTCACCCGCTCCACCCAATGCGAACAAAACAAAAAAAAAAAAAAAAAAAAAAAAAAAAAAAAAAAAAAAAAAAAAGAAAAAAAGAAAATAGAAAGAAAGAAAGAGAACAGAGGAGACTGATACAAAAAACGTATACTACCGTACAATTAATCGTTTACGCGAGAGAGACACACAGAGAGAGAGAGAGAGAATGTGTGTGTGTGTGTGTGTGTGTGTGTGTGTGTGTGTGTGTGTGTACACACACACTTTCGTTCATTGTTTTCCGTTTTGTGCGTCCGGAAAAGATTGTCGCGCGCGCGCAAACAAAAAACTTTCTCCGCGATGCGCGCGCGCGCTTACGCACGCACGCACACACATACACGTACACACGCGCGCGCGCGCGCACACACACAACTGTGACGATCGACGATCGATCCCCCTCCTTCCGTTTTAATCTAACCGCGTTCGCCTGTGTCAACGTTTTCTGCGTTTCTCAAGTGAATGGCGCGGACCTGGCGTCTAGAATTATCGCTAATAGGCGCTATTTTATTTTCTTTTTCGTTTTTCTGTTTTTTTTCTTTTGCTTAAGTTTTTTTTCTTACCCCCCACGTAACACAAGAGCGCGACAAACGCCCCGACGATACACAATTACAATAATACGATTATACTTTACGCTAACGTAAACATTAAAAAAGTTGGATTACTTTTTTTATTTGTGAAGAGTTCGAGATTACTTTATTCCCGTTATTAATTATTCTCCCCGTGTTTAAACCACTGTCTTCCACAGGAAAGAACGTACCGTTCCGTCGTTTCCTTGTCCTCATTAGGAAATTTTCTTTTCAGTTTTCCTGCTTTTCCTCTCACTGGTATACACGGAGCATATATATACGTGGCTCTCGTGTAAATATTCCATCGAAAACTTTTATTTTAAACATTTCCCTTCCCTTTGCTCTTCAGCTCCGACTTATTATGATGCACTTCCCCTTCTGGCAATTAGGGCCACCACTATTCACAATGCGTAGATAGTAGAATCGAAGAACTATATTCCATAAATGCGTTTTCCTGTGTGTGTGTGTGTGTGTGTGTGTGTGTACGCGCGCGCGCGCGCGCGCACGATGTGTGTAGTAGACAGTGAGCACGTGGTAAGTGTGTGTATGTGCGTGTCCAGAGGTACACTTGCAATATAAAGAAACAAAAAGAGCAGAATCATTCGCATCACAGAGATTGTTTCTGTTCGATTTTGATTATTTTCCAGTTGTGAATTTTACAATATCACATTTTTTAGACATCCATTTCAGTATGTCTTTCATTCGGGTCTCCTCCTGCTTTCAAACATTTCTTCTTTTCACCAATCATTCGACTTGTGCCTGTTGACCATAGTAGTCGCACTTGTGCCGTTTCAGTCACACGATTATTCCTGCTCGGAATGTTCCATTGATCAGTCTTCGAGGCTCCGGCTGTTGTTGGTTTCCCTATGGACTCCAACGTGGATACACGACACACACTTGTTTTTATGATTAGTCTGCTTGCTTCGATGCACTAGCTGGCTGAAGTGTCTGTCTTCCCTGTTCAGCATTTCGTGTGACGCACCTCTACACCACGCATGCGCTGATGCGTTCGTTGTTCATTTTATGTTATCCGTTTAACCGGTCCGTTCGCGTTTATTTAATACGATGTACACAATTTACATTTCGCGACACTGTGTTTTATCGTGGGCTTAACATTATGGTTACTTTTTTTTCCTTTTTCTTTTTTATCATTTTCGTTTTATAATCAATGAAATCGCATTGCACGAGTGTGGCCCTTTAATGCTTCGTTTAAAGACAGTTCTTTGTTTTCATCGTGTTAAATCGTAAGGACAATCACGTGACACTTTTTTGCCAACGTATACACACACATAGACACACACGTGTTTACGACTAATTCCGGCTTTCTTTCGGTCACTTTGCACACAGACTATTCACCGCACTTGCTGCTTTCGTCTGTCTCGTTTTTGTTCTCAACATTCAAAATTAGGGGAAATCTGTGAAAAGACTTAACACGCGTAAAATTCCGTTACTTTTTACCGGTCTATTAGCGATTATTACGTTCTGTATTTTATCTTTACTTAACACGCTTTTGATAAATTTAACGTTATAATTATTAGATTTCGTTTTATATAGGAAATCTCATGGTTTTTTTCTCTTGCGTCTGTTAATTGTCGATGGTTCTTTCTTATTTCGTTGCGGAGTTCTTTATTACGTGTTTTACGAGCAAATCGAATTGTCTTAGCTTCATGAAACTGAGCTCAAACAAGGAAATAGATTCGTTTTTGTCCGAGAACATCGTTCGTTGACGACTTTTCATTTTCCTGATAATACTTGCATTATCTTACTCGTTATTCGTGGCACAAACACATCGATAATGAATATCCGTTTTTGGTGAAAGTACACGCCAATGTACAGTATTAATTCATTGATCGAAAATATACTATTTCACGATGATGACGACCCACGTATTCACGAAAACTTGATATAAAAGTGACACATTTTGACCGCCTTTTCGATGACGACAATGATTAGAATAATAACGACGACGAGTATAATGGTAATGAAATTGACGTTAATTGGAACGTGTTAATAAACACGATAATTAAACAACAACAACAACAACAACAACAAAAATAACGATCACAGCAGGGACGCGAAGGTACAAATGTCATAATAAAGAACTCAGCAAGAAAATTACTCCCTGTTTGCAGTGTGTTGGACTTACAGGCTCTGTCAGTGTCGTTTGATTGTTTTATTTAGTTTAATTTAGTTCCTAGTTGACCATAAGCGTATGCGACTCCATCGGTGCAGCACTATCGTATAATGTGTCGGTGTCCTGCGTGGGTTCACCCTGAAGTTGACATTGATTACTTAATGTTCCAGCGCCACAGTCACAAAAGAATCTGAAAAATATCAATTAATTAGAAATGAATCAGATATATTTCTCGACTCGAACGAGTCTCATTTTGTAAGACCTTGAATCGAGGAAAATAATAACAAAAACATGTATAATATTCTGCCACGCCCCCCCCTCCCCCAAAAAATTATTCTTACTCCTTTAACCATCATCAACTTCTGTAGTTTATCAGACTAGGATAAAAGAAGGCTGAACCTTTAGAAATCCGTGTAAAAATACAATTCCGTGTTATGCTTTAAAAGGGAGGTGAAATCAAATTACATAAATAATTAGAAACTTGAGAAATTAATTACTTACTTATCATTCGGTTCATATTACGCTAACGTATTTAACGTGACAAGTTCTTTTTGGTCGAAGCTGAAATAATGAATAATACATACCGATCGTGTCTGATGAATTCTACGTCGTGTCCAGCATGACAAGTTTTTATACAGTTCACACAAATCGCGTTGCGATCTGTTGTATTACATGTCTGGCAGCGATAGAAATCATGCATGGGGAAGGAAGTGTACGACGAAATTTTGTATAAACATTGCCCATTACCGACAGCTTTTTCAACCGCGTCTTGGTTACTAAATATTTTATTGCCTAAAAAACAAAAAAAAAAACAGAAATGAGATCCGTTTACTTCCTTTCTCTATCATCCTGCTGCTACTCTGAAATCAATGGGATGGTAAAAGAAAAAAATACGAACCTCTAGTCGTCGGTTGAACTCCGCTCGCTAAGCATAGACCACCGAATCTATTATTGAAAATTTGATTAAATTCTAGCGTGGCAGTTGCATTGTTTGTTATCTCAACGCCAGCTGCCAATCCGTCAAAGATTCGATTTCTTCTCAGGACAGGATGGGATTGCGTAGAAATAAGCACTCCAGCTTGCGCGTTACGAAATATATCGTTTTCTTCGAGAACACCTGCGTGAATAAAAAAGAAAAAAAAAACGTTTAGTAATTGATAAACTTGCAAATATTCCGACGGCAAAATCAAGCGAAATAAATAAGGTTTACCTTTGCCACCATTAAATATACAAATACCGCCATCTCGTCCATCGAATATTTTGTTCCTTTTTAACGTAGGGTTGCTATCAGTTTTAATCCATACTCCTGCCATCGCATTATCAAAAATCTCATTTTGTTCGAGCAAACCCAATCCGCTATTATACACAAGAACGCCACCGTTCTGTCCGCCCCATATTTTATTCCCACGTATCACTGGATTGCTTCCAGTCCTAGCATCATAAATCACAGTCAGTGCAACCAATGAAAATACAATGTTTCCTTACTAACAAGAGAATTTTTTAGTAACCTGAACATTTTGATTTATTTATTTTTTTTTTTAAACTTTGCAGATTCGAAAGAGACTTGAACATCAAAGATTAACGTGTTTTCCTATTTTCCAGTTTATCTTGAAAACGAAGTAGTAAAATAAGAAAACACGCATTAACCTTTAAGGCATGTTTTCTCCTTGATACTTCTATCGAGGTCCCTTTCTTTCTAACCTGCAAACTTTCCAACAAAATCGGAATATTCGGATTACCGAAGTTCCGCCGCAAGAATAAGTGATTTTACCTTATTTGTACTCCAGAATACAAATGATTGAAAATGTCATTGTCCTCTAGTTTACCGTGTCCATTGTCGTAAAAATAAACCCCGACTTGTTTCCCGCTATGAATACGATTCCTTCGTAATACCGGCGTGGACCCGGTGGTTATCCAGACACCTGCCAATGTGTTGGCGTACACTTCGTTTTCCTCGATTAAACCTTGCCCCTTCTCGTGCACGTATATGCCGCCGTGTTGCCCGTGATGTATCTTGTTGTGTCGAACAATCGGGTCCGAGTTCGTACGGATCTGGATGCCGGCTAACGCGTTCCCGTAAATATTATTATGTTCTATCAAGCCTCGTCCCTCGCCGAATATGTATACGCCCCCTTGATGGCCGTTATAAATTTCATTCCGACGAATCGTTGGGTTCGAGCTGGAGGTGATCCAGACGCCCGCGAAATTATTCGAGTGGATCTTGTTGTCGATGAATTGACCTAAACCGTTCTCGTGCACGTAAATCCCGCCGGTCTGACCGTGGTGTATCTCGCAGTGCACAACTGTTGGATTGGCACCGGCTTTCACTTCGAAGCCCGCTATTCGATTATTATGAATGTCGTTCGCCTCGAAATATCCGAGACCGTTATCGAAAGTGAATATACCGACGTCCCGTCCGTGATGGATGTGATTCCGTCGCATTATCGGATTCGCGTAATTCTTCACCCAAATCCCGGCCAACGCGTTTCTCGAGATCTCATTGTCCTCGTATGTTCCTTGCGCGTAGTCGGTGACATACAGTCCAACGTTCTCGCAATCGGATATGTCACAATTCCGTATCACCGGATTGGCTCCTACGCCTGACACGCAAACGGCTGCTCCAACTGTGGAAACGGGGGTAGAAAAAATCAGTGTGGAGGCGACTTTTTCCGATTACCGATAAAAGTAGGTTTACAGTATCCAAAAAGAAATGTTTAAGAACTTTTAAAGAGGTCAGAAACAGAATTATCACTTACCAACGCTTGAACTCCTAATAATGCAATGATCGATTATGGGACTACAGTTTTCGCCGATTTCTAAACAATAATGCTTATGATGCGGCACAGTACTAGTAACGTCCGGGGTAAACTTCAACGTGAGATGCCCGGCATAAGCTCGTTTCGCTCCTTCTACAAACATAACGGTAGATTCAGTGTCTCGTTCCAGTATAACAGATTCGGACACATTCCCGGGGGCCGCCCCTATTAATGCAACGTCGCTGTCGATCACAAGGAACTCGCCCCTGTAGGTGCCAGCGTGTACGAAAACTAAATGTTGAGATCCTTCTCCCGTCGTTCGGGTATTCCGCCCGCAACAATTCCCCCTGCCGGTTGTGCTCGCGCTGCTGTTCGACGCGGCGCTCGATTTTCTATTTACATCTATGTGATCCAGCGCTGCCTGGACTGTATTAAAGTATCGAAAATTCCGTCCTTGAAACTTCAGACCCTGATATCCCGGCCTCACGTGTACCGCTTTGTACAATTGTTTGAAACTCTCTTTCCATGGATTCGGATAATTGGTTTCCTCCGGGGATATAAACTCGAATTTACATGGTGCAGTAATGTACAGTGGTATGTCGTATTGATAAACCTTCTGGTACATCGACTTCCATAGTTCATTGTCGCTCGCGATTATTTGAAAACGTTTGCAGACTTGAGAAACTCTGCACAGATCTTGTTCCAGTAGATAAGTAAATATAGTAAGCAGCACTTCGTCCGGTAAGTCGTACTGAAGGTAATGAGCTGCACTGCTTATATTTGTACCTACTAAATAATTAACGGGGGATTGAAGGAATTGTCACATATCATCTATAATGATGTTTAATTGGAAGTGACCATACCATCTGTGGATAATGAATATGTCCGCCTGGGTCGTTTTCTGGCTGGTAGAGCAGTACAACCTAAAGATGCTCCATAACTGTTACCACTTGCAGGGGGTAAGGCGGAACTAGAACCAGGTGCTGGATCCAAATGAGGTGGACTCTTGCGCCTTAAGTCATATGGAAAAGAGTGCGAATGCTGGGGGGAAGGCGACGGTGCTGCAACACCAGAAACATTGGGGGAAGATCCCCTTCCGCCAGTTCCACTTGCAACTGCACCTCCTCCAACTCCAAGGGGTATCTGATTTGATGTTCCATATGGCAAATCGCCTGCCTCGACTGAAATAACAAAATAATTACAACTGGTATGCAAACTATTACTAAACTACAGTAGTTCTCGGTTCATAGGCGTATCTTTCCCCGCTTAATTGACGCCGGATTATCCCTACTAATTCCTAAAACTGCTTTCATGGAGCGAACGCCAACATTATCTGTGCTACACATTGTGTGTACACACAACTACACAACTGTTCGAACCTTCCTCTCTATTTCACTCCCAATCGATGTCTCTCACTTTCGTCCCCGACGCACTCAAAAAGCAAGTGAACCGGAAACAGATAACAATCGGTAATTCTTAGAACACCTACCTCCCTCGATAACTGTCACGATACGGACCTGAACCTGCGTCAATTTAGCGGAGATTACTGTATACACGGTTTTATTGGTTTATGGTTTATACTTTACAAAAACTAAATCAAATCAAACTAAGCACAACACCTATTTATGGAGCATAACTCTGGAGTCATGAAAGATACTAAAGTCTACATTCAAGAAATAATATATACATTAAACAAAAAAGGTAACAAAAAAAAAGAAATTGCGTGTAAGAGATACTAAGACGAAAATTAGGACGTATTTTAAAACGGGTCATCATAATTCCATTTTCGGAGAATCAGCGGCAGTTTCGGTTGCATTTTCAACGGACGCAAAATGATTTAGGATAGTGGAGCGTTATACTAATTTAACACAAAGTCTATATGTAGTCGGTACAATGTCAGATTGAAAGGAGCGTCGAGCGTTTGTACTTCGAGATCGTTAGCCGATTATTCTTCGAAGTGGATACAAGAATTGCTCGGTTATATTCCCACGACTGGATGTTTAATAAATCAGGATTACAAAAAAAAAATAATGAGAAACGGTGGGAGTGAGGAGTGTAGACTTTGAGCCGACGTTCCACGGTAAAAATTGACAATCGCGAAGAATACACGATACAGTTGATCGATGTGCCCGAAAAAAGATGGGCCGGTTCGAGTCGCGGCGAGAGAGACAGCAGACACACACACACACACACACACACACACACACACA